ATGTTATATTGATCTAGCAGCTTAAATGCTACACATAGAGTCAAAAGCTTACATATATCAACATCTAAACTAAGTAAAGCATCTCAGTACTGCCGTTCAGTTTTTCTAATTGAGAATTTTTCAGGTATTACAGATAGAACTTTTTATTAAAGAGTTTTATATTGTAGGATTATTTAGTGATTTTCAAAAGCCTTAAATGCGAAAAGTAAAATCAAAATTTTATATGAAAGCAAACGATAAAACACTTTATTTTTTGTCGGAATTTCATATTCGACGGCTTTTTTGTGCTCAAAGGCTTAAAATTATTCTTTAATTTTTCCCGCATCATCACGAAAAGTCTCCTCTAGTAAATCTACGTTGCCATAAGTCAGTCTATCTACCAAGGTTTATCCGAAAACTGTGCTTTCACCAGATTTATTATTATTATAAATATTTTATTTAGTTGGTATGCCTTTAATATTCTAGCTAAATTTTTCTCTTTAATACAGGCATTATTTTGAATTATTCAAGATCGATTTGATCAGAGTGGACTCTTTTTTACAGCACTTGATTCGTTCGTCGTGAGGGGACGTCTAGAGCATCTTTCTATCTAATTAATGTAATAATTTCCCTATAATTTTATGCACTTGACTTATATATTTTATAAACAAGTAAGAAAGGGCTAAATTCGGGTGTAAACGAACATTTTATACTCTCGCAATTTGCAATTAAGAAACCCCGCAGATTGACCAATATATACGGTATAAACTCAAGGAGATAATTGAAAATACGAATATTAGGTATATGGGGAATAGGGGAAGTAGTGCTCTGATTTCATCCATTTTAGGCAAGAGACAACGCTGTTATTAGAATAAGATTCTTTATGATTTCTAATGGAAGATCAAAAATATTTTTATTTGATATATGGGGGCTGAGAGAAATTTTGACGCAATTTTACCCATTTTTGGCACAAAGGCATGCTGTCATCACAAAAATATGCTCTCCAAATTTCCATACTACACTTCGCACCGATATGTCGGCAGTGGGGTCCACAATTTGGCGTTTTCGTCCTTAAAAAGTTCGAGTTATACTTTGATTTCGACAATTTTTGCGCGTAAGAGGACTGTTTGTGCAAAGTATTATTTTGATAGCTTCATTAGTGTTTGATTTGTATCCTATAAAATAAGAGAATCAGATGGAATTCAGAAGTTTTTTACAAGGGACGTAGGAACGCTCGTTTTCACAGTATATGATAGGAATGTTTGAGTAACCTCACACACAAAATTTTGTTGGATTTGATCAAGTAGTTACTGAGACATTTGATTTCACAGTGAGTTATCGCACTTTGAGTAGTTTTCAACAAAACCGTTATATGGGGAGTGGGCCTGGTTATTATCTGACTTTACCCATTTTCACAGTGTATAAAAATCTTTTAAAATATGTCTTTTTAGGAAGTTTGGTTGATTAAGGTTGAACCGTTTGGAAGTTATAAACCTTAAACTATTAAATTGCGGGGCCACGCTCACTTTAAAAAAATGTCGCTACTGTGATCCCTTGTACTAAATTACAATTAAACAAGTAAGGAAGGGCTAAGTTCGGATGTAACCGAACATTTTATACTCTCGCAAAGTCAAATGGTATACTCGTTTGAGATTTCTTTGTGGATTGACTGATATTTTCGGTAGAAGGTCAACTATAGGCAATGGGGTCCATATATTTAGTACTTAGGGGTTTGAACAGTTTTGGTTCGATTTAGACAATTTTTGGCCGCAAGGTGGCATACTTTAATTGCATTATTCACGCAAAGTTTTACCCCGATATAATCATTGTTACCTGATTTGCATAGTGGAAAGTGAAAGAATCAGATGGAATTGAAAATGGTGTTACATGGGAAGTAAGCGTGGTTGTAGTCCGATTTCGCCCATTTTCGCACTATGACATAGAAACATGAAAAGAACGTTATGCACCGAATTTGGTTGAAATCGGTTGAGCAGATCTCAAGATATGGGTTTTCACCTAAAAGTGGGCTGTGCCACGCCCACTGTCTAATTTTGAACGCGGTTCCTATAAAGTCATCTTATACCATCTCAGAGATAAAATTTAATGTCTCTGGCGTGTTTAGTGCTTGATTTATCGCGCTTTTAGTAGTTTTTAACAGTACCGTTATATGGGGAGTGGGCGGAGTTGCCACCCGATTTCAACTATTTTCACACCGTCAATAGAAGTGCTAAAAACATTTGCTTCCAGTGAATTTTGTTATTATAGCATTAGCGGTTTAGGAGATATGCACATTAAACCTATTAGAGGCGGGACCACGCCCACTTTTTAAAAAAAATTTTAACTGCAGATGCCCCTCCCTAATGTGATCCTGTGTACCAAATAACAGTCTTGTATCTTATTGCGGAGCTTAGTTATGGCAAGTTATTTGTTTTTGATTAATGGCGTTTTGTGGGCGTGGCAGTGGTCCGATTACGCCCATCTGCAATACCAACCGTCTCACGGTACCATGAAACATGTCTACCAAGTTTCATAAAGATATCTCAATTTTTACTCAAGTTAGAGCTTGCACGGACGGACGGACGGACGGACAGACGGACGGACGGACAGACAGTCACCCGGATTTCAACTCGTCTCTTCATCCTGATCATTTATATATATATAACCCTATATCTAACTCGATTAATTTTAGGTGATACAAACAACCGTTAGGTGAACAAAACTATTATACTCTGTAGCAACAGGTTGCGAGAGTATAAAAATCAATTTTGAATATTTTCATGATACGTTGTTTTGTATTTTTGGTGACGATATGTATATTAGGGTGGGTAAAAAAAACAATTATTTTTATTTGCTTAGTACTCTGAAAAATAGTTACTTAGCCAACTCTAAAAAAGCCTCCTCAAGAATGAAAGAAAGCTCTTAATTGTAACGGGAAGGTTCTCCGCCTGACAGTTTTTTATTTATCTTCTCTTATTATCAGATAGAAAAATTCAAATCTAACTACTCGAAAAATATCGCGTTTCATAGATTTTGTAGCAAATTGAATGCTTTGCAAAAACGTCTTTTACTTTCGTAAGCCTAATCGTTTAAAAGTTATTAACGGTTGAAGTTTGATTATTATACGGCAATTTTTTTTTATGAATTTTATAACGCAATGAAAAAAAATCATTATAAAACGGAAAACTTATAGTTTTGTTGGAAATTTACTAGTCCCACCGTTTTTGAGATATCGATATGAAATTTTGCATACGTTCTTTTTCCCCAAGCCGCTGCTTACTCAACGGTACCACCGATATCGGACAACTATAGCATAAAGCTGCCATACAAACTGACCGATTAAAACTAAATGCTTTTTTGGAAAATTTGTTTATTTGACAAGATATCTAATTTTGACATACTTTATGATATTGTCCAAGAAGACGATTTTTTTTTTGAATTATGTGCGTCAAAGTTGCCGAGTTCAACGAATTTCCTTGTACCATTTTTCCAATTTGAAGTATGATTTAGTTTGTCATTTAAAGTATGACTGAACTTAATGCCACCGAGGTCAATGTGCCAATGTAGACGCAGTTACAAATCTACAACAATGTTTGTATGTAGGTACGTGCTTAATTAGGAAATATAGTTGAGAGTAAGAGTGCGATAAAAATAACAAGATAGACTATAAAATTTCACTTTCCCATTTTTTATTTAACTAGTATTGTTGTTGTTTGCAAAAAATCGTTAAAAATAAGTAATTTTTCAATAATTGCCACGTCTTTTTTATACGGCAGGTGAAGACTGACTGCTTCTCATTTTTCAAATTTTCAAAAATTTCCATGTACAAACGAAATTTACATTTATTTATTTAAGCCAAAACAGAAGTGAATTCCTAACACAAAAGAGCCAAACCTTTAGTTTGTCATTATTAACCTTTCAATCCACGCAAGTGCGAGAGGTGAACACACGCTATTCATAGGAGTGTATAACGGTTGTATGCAAAGTCTTTGTGATATATAAATATCTACAAACATACATATATACATATGTATTATGATTAAATGCGGGCGTTCCTACAGCCCGTCTGGTCAGAGCAGAAGGAGATAGTGGCAGCAAAGTATCAGCGGCATCTGAAGCGGAAGCAACCGCAAAAAAAAAAATTAATAAAATGAAAACTTAAAAAGTATGACAAACGAGGCTGATGCTAGGACCAGCCAGCAAAACGGACAGCTGATAAAATACACTGAGCTCGTGTTTTATAAGCAAAGGGTGTAATTTGTATGTCATTTGGATAGTTTATAGGGAACTAAAAGTAAATAAAATGTGTTAATATTTGACACGAGGGCTGGACAGAAATTAGATTAGAGCTGTGGCTGGTGGATGCAATGGCAGGCGCCAAAGTAGTAGGAGAAAGGAGAAAAAATATATCCGCAAGGTGCAAGTGCCGCGCTGGTGTGGCAGATATAAAGGTGTGATAACCGAAACATATTTCAGTGTTCTAAATGCCAACAACAATTTCGCTAAACCTCAAAGCCGCTGAGAATAAAACGAGAAGATAAAATTGTTTTCGAACTAAAGCATTGGAAAGTATGTGCCACTGGTGTGGTCGTAAAGCAGGAGTATAGTATGATGGTCATAAAAATAAATAGAAGCTCAAGTCTAAGTATCAACTCTTCACTGGCATCTTTCTCTGTGACGAACGACCACAACGCCATATTTTAATTGAATGAATAATTGAAAAATTTAGGGAGGCAGAAAAGTAATAACATTCTCTGCTGCATAGAATACCATAGATAAACTTGTAGTATGTACATACATTTGTATGGTATGTCAAAATAAATTGCATAAAGTAGTTAAATTTATAAGCCTTTTTATGGCAACAATTTAGAAAAGATGCTTTAATTCAACTAATTTCTTTTTCACAAAAACAATTTACTTTTACCCACCCACATTTTGAGATGCATACGAGTGGAGCTCAACAATATAATAGAAACGACAATAAATATCTGCAAAGTGCAAATTTAAGATATTTTTTCTCTCACCACTTCTAAAGCTGCCGTAATCATCAGTCGTTTATAACAGGTGATGCAGATTCTTATTCACTGAATCACCAACAACACCGCTGCCTACTTGATATATGTAAGTATGTAAATCCAATCAGTAATTTTTCAACAAGATATTTCAAAGAGAAACTAGCAACCAAAGTTTTTTTCGCCAATGCTGATGCTGCTTTTTGATTGGTTTGTATTAACCTTCCCTTTTTTCATGGATTTTTTTGTTTGTTTTTCTCTATTCACTTGCACCGCTCCCAATTGGTGAGATTTACATGCATATAGTAATATGCAAAATGCAAACACTATTTTATATAAAAATTACTTTGAAATGCATACACTTTTTATTGGGTAGGCAATTTTTTCTGCTACAGAATCAACACTTCAGCACAATTCGTTGATGCACCGTAAACTCCAATAAATTTGCTGTATGTATTTTTTGCGTACACTTGCACTCGCGCACTACACACACACGCGCGCGATTTCGCTAATTTTCTTAATGCATTACTTCTTGCGAATTTTTAAACACATATTTTTTCTTTTTAGTTAATAATTGTAAGTATTAAATGGTAAAAACTATCCACAAACTACGATACGCGTTTCCTTACAAGCGAGACGGTCTGGTCTGCTCGTCTTCACCGATTTGTTGTTTTTGACTTTTTTAAACAACAAATTTTTTCTTTTCCCTACATTTATTTTCTGATCAGAGATTTCATTTTGACGTTCTCTGTTCTGATTCGATTTGTTTCGTTTCCATTTGGTTTCACACATGATGGCATCATACGACTAAAAAATAATGTAAGTGTAACCCATTGCGTTTCTTAAGAATTGCTAAAAAAATAATAAATGATTTTTACTTAATAAAAATATATATTATTATTATGTAGATTTTTATTTTACATTCTCTGTTATTATTTCCACATTAAATGATTTTAAAACTATTTTAATTGCTATATATATTAAGCTTATTTCATTGCGTCGTGCGGCCAAGATGTAAATGCTTTACCTCATTTTTTTACCGGATTTTTTTTTATATACTTTTAAATGTTTTATGAGTTACAAACTGTTTTTATATAATAATTTTATTTATATTAGTTTGTTTATAATTATATTATTATTAGTTTGATTTATCATTTAAAAGTTAATTAAACGCAACAGCTGTTTTTCACAAAAACAAAACAACAGCGTAGCGTCGATGAAATCAGCAACAAACGATGTAGTCTACACTTTCAAATTATTGGGCGCTAGCCCTATTTTATTCCCTTTTATGTATAAAATTATTGTTATATTTACAAGTAATAGTAAATTTAATTTATGTTAAACATATTTGGGAATAAATCTTTAAATAAAATTTTCCTAAATATGTGTTCTAATTTTTAGAGATCTGCTACAGAAATCCAATACCGGCAAGTATTTTTAGCAAGTGCAAATGTGAATGTACAACACTGCCAAGGAGGAGTTTTCGGTATTTTGCGGAGGTATCTTTTTATTATTTTGTTCACCGAACGGTAAATAGAATATGTCGAAGAATAAATTGAATTTAACGCTGCCTCCTGGAGCTGTAGATGCAACAGTGGCCGCGTCACAGGTTGTACCAACACCGCCATTCAAGACACCATCAGGAACAGAGTAAATATCCCAATAAATATTTCTATTGATTTTTTTCATTTTCTGCACTAGCGCTTTGTTGATTCCTTTAACTTTTTTGCTGCTCGACGCCGACAAGCGATTTTGTATGATGTTGGCATTGCTAAAGTTGTCTTATTTCTGTTACATATGCTCAACATTTCGATATATGGAGTATTGTCATTGAATCGGCCAATTTGGGCTGCTAAGCATTGCATTTCTTTTCCATGCCTTTCTATCGAACATCTTTTTCTCTTGATTTTTTTTGCTTTTCGTTTTGTTGCACAAAAATTCATTAAAAAGTTAAATTAAAGAAAACATAGTTTACTGGGGAAGCCGAAGACGAGCATCGAGGCGCTGACGGAGACACTGGAAGAGTTGGAAATGGATGATTCCGCACGAAATCGTATTAAGGTCTTTCTCAGTCAAAAGGAGAAAATCGGAGAACTCTCTGATGATGATCTGGAAAAGTTGGGTGAACTTGGCTCCGGTAATGGTGGTGTAGTCATGAAGGTGCGTCACATACCCACAGAATTGATAATGGCACGCAAACTAATACACCTTGAGGTGAAGCCGGCAATTAAAAAACAAATAATACGCGAACTGAAAGTGTTGCACGAGTGTAACTTCCCGCATATTGTTGGTTTCTATGGTGCATTCTACAGTGACGGTGAAATCAGCATTTGTATGGAGTATATGGATGGTGGTTCTTTGGATCTGATATTAAAACGTGCCGGTCGCATACCGGAATCTATACTTGGCAAAATAACGTTAGCCGTGCTAAAGGGTCTAAGCTACTTGCGTGATAAACATGCTATAATGCATCGAGATGTGAAGCCGAGTAATATACTGGTGAACAGCAGTGGCGAAATAAAGATTTGCGATTTTGGCGTGTCCGGGCAGTTAATTGATTCCATGGCCAATTCCTTTGTAGGCACGCGCAGTTATATGTCGGTGAGTAGTGCTGAGTTTCTCTATTATTATTAAGGTTTCAAGTTTTTGTTTTCTCACACACAGCCGGAGCGTTTGCAGGGTACACACTACTCGGTGCAATCGGATATTTGGTCACTCGGTTTGTCACTAGTTGAGATGGCAATTGGCATGTATCCGATACCGCCACCCGACGCCAGTACACTGGAAGCGATATTTAATGACGATCCAGAGGACGGACAACAAACCATCGTAGAACCTAAAGTGATGGCAATTTTTGAGCTACTCGATTACATTGTCAATGAACCACCGCCTAGGTTGGAGCACAAAATATTCACCGACGACTTTAAAAACTTCGTAGACATATGTCTGAAGAAAAATCCCGATGAACGTGCTGATTTGAAAACACTGCTGGTATGAAAAATATAGAATATAGCTTTTAAAATATATAAAAAATTTAAAATTGATTTTGTTTTGTCTAGAGTCACGCATGGATACGCAAGGCTGAGATTGAGGAGGTGGATATTGCTGGTTGGGTGTGCAAAACAATGGATCTGCCACCATCGACACCGAAACGCAACACATCGCCCAATCAATAAAAAAAAACAATAATTTTTGATAATTATAATTAATGTGCATTTGCTTTAATTTTATTTATATATCCTCCCTAATAAATATACTCAATAACGAAACATCAGTGCAAAATTTCAATTATGTGTGTTTGCCAACAAATTTCTTCCAAAAGAAAAATACGAAAAAGCACAGTTCGAAGTATGGCATTCCCACTATAAAGTGCTAACTGTAATTATTATACCCAAAAAAACGGTGTATTAAGTTTGCCCCAAAGATTGCATCACCCAGAAGAAAACGCCGGAGACCCTATAGAGTATATATAAAAATGATCAGTCTGGCAAGACTAGTTCCTCACTTTTTGTGGAGATCGATCGACTGACAAAACAAAATCAAGTTTTTGTATAGAAAACTTTTTTATCAGACGAGATATCTGCACGAAAGTTGGCATACATTATTGTCCAATGCAACGCTACAATAGCCGAATATAATGTTCAGATCGGACCACTACAGCATATAGCGGTCATACAGGCTGATCAATCAAAATCAAGTTCTTGTATGGAGACTTTTTTTGGAGCGTATTATAGCTTCATTTTTTTTTTTTGAGTTATTTGCATGCATTAATGAAAAGACAATTCGTTGTTGTTTTATACATGCAAAATATGTATGTTTTATTATAGAAATAAATACTCATATTCGTAAATTCAAAAAATAGTTTCGAGCACACATAATCCCTATTTATATATAATGTATGTATGTATATGCGTATGCAAAGTAAGAATCCATTACAATAGTAAAATTTGATTTTTTGCTTCTTAAATCTAAATACTCGTTTGGTAAAAAAAAATATGATAAAAAAATGTTTTGTTGTATTTATGTATGTATGTAGTTGCTTAAAGGTTGTAATAATCGACAAATTCAACGGTGCGTCTGTAACACATCGGATTCAATCTGACCGGTTTCCATTTCTTCTACAAATTCCAAAGACCAAAAAAGGTATCAGAAAACGTAACAATGTGAGAAAACATAAAGAAAAGATAAAGAAAGAAAAAACGATCAGTTTTTTTAGTTAAAGAAAAAATGAACTTAACTCAAGTATTATATATAAATTGTATATATGTGGAATGCATAAATGCGTACGGAATGTTTGAGCGCAAGAGCAGTAAACAAAATATGCAAGCTAGACGGGATGCAGTTAGCGCACTTGTTTCGTATTTACGTTAACCAAAAATTTATTCATTAACTTAACATGCTTCTTTTTAAAACCAAGTTATTTGCCAACTTTTAAAAGCTATAATATTATTTATAAATAAGCCACTTCACATAATAACGCAACAACAAAAGATAGATATGAAGGATGAGCAAAAAACAAAAAAAACATTGAATATAAAACTAAACTGTTGCGCTGGGTAATGGTGGTGTTGGTGGTATAATATTCGGTATTGCCACAACGCATGCGCCAGCGCGACTGTATGTCAGCGGTGCAGCTTGAGTCCACTCGTTTGTCTCCGCATTGTATACTTCAACGGTTTTTAAATAATGATTGCCATCATAACCGCCAATTGCCATAAGGCGATCGCCCAGCAAAGCGCAGCCAATAGCATCGCGTCCGACGTTCAGCGAACAGATCTGCAAGTATAATATGGTGACATTATTTACTTCACCAAAAAACAAAGCTGCTTACCAAAGTCCAAGAATCTGTTGCGGGGTCGTAACGCTCAACGGTATCGGTGCGACAAACAGAGGGATTGCTGGCCGGACAATCGTGGCCACCCAGCGCGTATAGGAATCCATTTGCAACAGCAACCTGCAAAAAAAATTTGTATACTATACTATATACTATACGTTAACTGTTTGCACTTACGCCAACACCACCGCGTCGTTTATTCATTGGCGCGCGCATGGTCCATTTATTGGTGTGTGGATCATAACATTCGATAGAACGATGACACACCGAACCATCTCGACCGCCTACTACATACAAACGGCCACCAAGCACTGCCACGCCAGCGGTCGAACGCATCGAGGACATCGAAGCCACGTAACTCCAGGTACGTGTGCTTGGGTCCCAACTGTGAATAAAAACAAGTTTCTAACTACATTAAAAAATCGATGCTAATTTTTACAGCACACACCGTTCAACAGTGGACAAATAGCTCCAGCCATCATGACCACCAACTGCATAGAGTGGACCCTCCAATACCGCCACACCCAAGCCATGACGATGCGTGCCCATCGGATTAAGCGCTGTCCATACCATCGTATTCAAGTCTAAACTCTCTACTGTATTGAGCGTTTTTAAGCCATCGCGACCGCCCACTATAACTAACTTATCATCCATCACAGCAACACCGAATTGTAAACGACGTGCGGACATATTTTTCCACACGGACCACTTGTCTCCATAAGGACAGTAGCTTTCAATACTTATAGCGCCCTGAAAATCAATTATTTTTGCTTGAGAATTTTTTGTGCTTGCATATATAATATTATATTTTACGGGTACCTTGTGCGCATCCATGCCGCCCACAGCCAACAAACGGCCCACCGTCGACTTACGCGGCTTTGTGCGCTCCGAAGCTATTAAAGCTAACAAATTGCGTCGTTCGGGCAGTAAATGCCATTTAAGCGCTTCCATCACAAGCTGTTGACATTCATTGGAACTGCACAGCGTTTCAACGTGATCCATTATGAATGAGGGTTTCAGCAGCGGTAAACGCACTAACGCCAGCAACTCGGGAATGTGTTTCTCGCGGCTGGCGGGATCGTGTTGCACCCACATCTTGAGACTGTGCACTACGTCTTCCTCGGTGGGCACATTGAGATCATCGCTAGAAATTAGCTTACCCAGCTGCTCGGAATCGAGTTGCAGGAATTCTTGATTTTTGCAAACCTAAAAAAAAAACTTAATTTTTATCAAAGTTAAAGTAGAAAGGAAATCAGCGTATTTTACCTGCATGAAATGTTGACATGTGTAGGATTTGGCCAGACGTAGTAGCGTTGTGCAGCTTTGTCGTTCCGCAAAGAAGGCAAAGCCCAGGCAGTTTGATGGATGTAATTGGCGCGCCAGAAAGTTGCAGCAGGCAGTGACTACAGAGTTTAATTGTAACAGACAGGCAGTGGCTAGGAGTGTTTCTACAGTATCTTCGCGCAGCTCCATATAACCCGTATAACAGTATTGTATTAGTATTTGTAATGCATCGCCATGCACCTCGCCAAGCGTGACTTCCTGCTCTTTGGTCTCACGCAATGAACCGGTGAACATGGCGGCAAAGTAGGCGCTCGAAGCTGACAATACTACACGATGGGCTGGCACTCTATATACATATACGGAATTAAGTCGGTATTATTTTAAGATACGAACAGTTTTTTAAGATCGATCGATAGTTTAATTTACATATTAAATATTTTAGAGACGCTATGTTATAAAATCAAGTTCTTGTATAGAAAACTTTTTTAGTGGACGAGATAACTTCACGAAATTTAGCATGAATTATTATCCAAGACAACGACACAATCGCTAAAGCAATTTTTCAGATCGGACCACTATAGCATATAGCTGCTATTAAAACTGAACGATCAGAACCACGCAAATTTTTTTTTTTGATTTCTCATATTTTATTTGATATCTTCATACAATTTGACATGAATTATTGTTCAAGGCAACGGTAGAGCCTCCGAATAATCTGTTTAGATCGCAGCCTTATAGCATATGTATATGTAGCAGGCATACAAACTGATCCATTAAAATCCAGTTATTTTAGGAACATTTTTTTATTTGTGTAGGGTATTATAGTGTAACTGAAGTTAATGTATTTTCTTGTTTTAGAAATATTTATATATTCAAAGCACCTGACAAAAATTCTTCGCGCTATAAACATATCGGCAGAATGTCAATAACCTAAATTATATATACGTATATACATATTTAGCCCTAGTATACATTCATAGACTGCATATGTTAAGTCTGCATGCATTAATTAATGATTCATATAAAATAAGTCATGCATGCATAACTTTCCAAGAGTTTGCCAGTTTTTTTTAATGAAAAAGTTGATTACACGGAAATTGCAAAACGTAAGCAATTTTTTTCTTGATACCCATATCTTTATATCAGTTTATTTTTTGTTTATTTATTTTATTATCACTGTACTATTTTCGCTATCGCCCCATTATTTTATCAATGTAAAGGGAGATACTTTAGTCATAGTGCTATTAATTAAATATATACATACGAATTTAAACATAGTTGTATATACCTATGATGTGTTATTTGTTGGTATTAAATTTGTTCATACCATGTGGTATATATGTATATATACATATGTATTTACACAACTTATCGGATAATAGCAACAGTTAATTCAAAACAAAACAGAAACTGAATGCTTGTCCGTTTCCGTGCGACACCTTCACCTTCATCGAACCAACGCACAGCTGTAGCAACATTACACACATATTTATAATACGAGTATATGTATGTACATTTATAATTTACAACAGTCGGCTTCTATATATCACATAGAGTAACAGCTCGCTGTCATTACACATGGAACGAGTAGTAAAATGTGCAAAAGGGGATACAAGTGTATGGCAATGCGGCTATGCAATTATCGTACTAGCTAGCACTTCTTTGTTTGGTGCGGCTTTTTCTATAGCGCAGCACTTTGCAGACAAAGAACGAGGCGCACTACGATTAGTGCAAAAAAAAACTTCACATATTATATTTGAACGGGAAGATGATAGGCAAACAGCATCCGGGGCAAAGGGAATGTGTACGGTTTACTGGCAATTCGTTTGTGACGCAGTATTCAGTACTCAACTCTTTATGTACATAAACATTCCCCATCGACTGTTGCTTTTGTTTGCTGCATGCAAAATGCGACCTGACCTTAGCTGTCTATTTCGCGTGGCACTTTTTATAATATACAGGCTTTTATAATTGAAATGTCTTTGTTTCTGGCGCCGGAAATGCACTTCATTGCCAATGATCAGTTTTCTTTTAGAGATACATACATATGTATGTATGCAAGTACACACTTACCGCTTGCCGTCGATTCCAGCAATTAATACTACATCGCAGAGCTGATGACTGTCCAAGTATAACTGCAAGCGTTTTAATACACTATCCGCATGGTCACGACATCGGAAATATTCATCTTGACTTACGGCAGATGTAAGGCTACCTAAACTATAGTCACGGGTTAGAGAATCTCCATCGGCCAGTAAAGATATGGGCGCAGATGAGGATGTCATGGAATCACGACTAGGGCTATCTTTGTTAGTAGACATATTCGCGACGTTGTAGTGTATAGAGCAAAACTATTGTATATCCGTATGTTTGTTTATTGTAAATTCACAGTTTATTTCACGTTTGCGAACTTTCTGCGTTGTATTAATAAATGCAAAAAATTGTGCTTGGTAAGTTGCTTGTTCCTCGATTTTATAGTTGTTTTGCGTTTTTAAATTTATTATGTACTTTATTCCGGATTGCACTCCAGTAGGGTAAACAAAAAGAGCACCAACACTTTGAAACTGCAGCAACGGAATGGCAACGAATCGTTTATTGCCAATTAAATGCACTTAACAAAGCGTTGGAGTTAATCAACTAAACGGTCCACCTCTTTGTTTCGCGTACTTATTTTTGACGTGTGTTGCTTTTGAGGCAACTAAACCTATTGAAACTGCTATTCCTGCTTCCATAAATATGGACTCAAATCTTTTAATTGCATTTGTTGCAGGATGAAGTATGAAGATAAAAATGGCGTACGAAAACCAACACAAATACGACCAGGTGCAAAAATAATGAATGTGGAGCTGCCAAGCCATTATTATTGTAAAAGTACGAAATGTTTTTATATGTATAAAATCACTAAATAAACTTTAAACGAAGTGAACATTTTTAATTTCTTTTATGATTTTTAACGTGCTAAAATTGATGTAATATTTAAAGTACTTTCATAGAATAAAGATTATTAAAAGCTCGACTATTTTATTGCAATGGTTGGGCAACTATTCTTCTAGTAAACAGAAAAATAAACGAAAATTGTCAAATGGTGTTGCCATTACAGCGAACGAAATACTTTGGCAACACAAGCACTTCCGAAAACAACACATTTCCGGCGCAACTATTGGTACAAAATATTTCCAAAAAGAAATGTAAAAACTATCAAATTAAAAAAAATTTCTAAATGAATATTTGCAAACGATTCATATAATTCACTAGTTAATTAATAAAATCTATTGTTGAAAAAAATATCTGAAAAATGAACACAGTATTTAAAAAAAAGAAAAACTATTCGCTTGCATGGAATTCGGTTTTTTTCTAAATGGTATTTTTAGATTTAGAAAATTCAAATACTTCATTTTGATTACTATCAACTATCTATAAAAAATTAATAACTAACGTTAATTGATAACACTATGGCATCTAGATTAACGTAACATAATCCAGCAATAAAGGTCTGTGGCTGACAATTTACCAATCGCAGTGTTACCGGCTTTCATAAATTCACTACATCTAAGAAGATAATTAATTTTAATTTAGTTATTTAAATATAGATTATTAGATATACAGCAAATACTATACGAAACATATGCAAAACTTTTATATACATATTTATATCCATTAATTTTAGTTAAGCACATGTGTTGTTAAAGAATTTCATATGTGAATTACAGAAGCTGTGATATGTTTCTGCAATAACTTCATCTGGCAGTACTACAAACGAATACGACGAACGGACGAGGCTGGCCAGAAACGCACTGTGCTTATAAAATTTTTCGCAGCTAAAAATAAATAGAAATTCGAATATTCCTTCCCAGAGTTAGTGCAATTAGAAAAGTGAGTGAAATCCAGCTTAAAGTGATGAAATATTAGCATTGAAGTGATTTTTAACAACTAATACTTGTCGAATAATCGATCGATGCAACGCCGTTAATCGTTGTCGGTAGAAAAAAAAGTCAAAGTCAAAAATGCTAGTAGGAGGCGTTACGACCTCGTTTCCTAACGTGAGCCCAAAACCCATTGCCTCCACCTTAAATGTCGTATTTCCAAGAGCACACATAACCAATCAAACCGAGTAAATACTTTTTTTTTGGTTAGTTGGATGTAGTCAACTTTTGATACCATAGCAGCCAATCTTATTGACGCTAACAAAATCTCGTTAGCACAACCACTGCCCCAGGCATTGTCGTCGTCGTCGTCGCCACATTTCCACTTTCCATTTTGAGGAAAATATTTTACTTTGCGTAATATTTATGTAGTTTATTTTATGTATGAGTCGCATTGCTGTTGGCTGACTGGTCGATTTGTTGGTTGGTGTATTCAGCGATTTTAAAAATAGAATTTTTTTTTAATGATGATTTGACTTTCGTCGCTGTTGTGTTTGTGTTTTCGAGACATTTTTTCTCGTGCGCGTTTTGTCCAATTGTCTATTAAATAGAGGCGCATTTTCACGGCAATACACGACGAGAAAAAATATTCAAGGAATAAAAAAAGTGTGTCGACGCCAAGGCGGCTGGTATAGTTGGGAGTTGTAACGTGATAATAGTGGTAGTGCGACGAAGTGGTGTTGTACTCGGGCAAGTGTAAAATTTTTGGGCTAGAGCATTGAAATGAATGAGAGTTAACGTTCAACTCGTATCATTGTGTTCGTATGTACAGACGTGCGTATACAAGCCTCAATTGTGATCAGCTGGCTATCCGTTCGTCGAAGAAAGGTGCAGGTGTGAGGCGAGTTTCGTAAAATGTGGGTGGTGCTGGCCCCGAAGCACTTTTACGACAAGGAGACGACGACGATGTCAACGGAGTAATCGCTGTGTTGTTGTTGACGACGATTTGCGAAATTCTGCAAATGTTGTTGTCGTATGCGTCAACGTCGTCGTTGATGTTTTGATTGTTCCCTACTGCGCTGCTATCGTTGCGGTTGTCATTGACGTTTACTCTGCTTATAGTTTTGCTTATTCTGATTCTGCGGGTTTGGGGTGTGCGAACGAGCCGACCATGACTTTGTTGTTGAGTAAAAATAAATGGTGTAAACTGAAAATTAAAATTAACGTAGTGTTTTACGGTATGAACTTGTTATTAAAGTACTTAGAAATGTTTGTTTATACTAACTGATTATGAAAAGCATATGACACTGAATCCGTGTGGACGTGAAACCCGTAGTATTTATAAATAAGTGGTTAGCGCCAATTATCGCAACAACGGTGGTAGTGTCAGTCATAGTAAGTTTTTGTTTTTTTCCCACAATTACTATAGTACGAGAGCAACCCTGATTTCTACCACTTATCGATTACTACTTGGCACTCGTCCCTAAGCCGAATTGCTGAGATCAAAAACATGAAATTAGACAATGGGGTTAGGATGGCACAAAGGCAATCAACTACTTGCTCTCTTATATTTCCGCATATCTACTATGAAAAAAGATGATCCATTAATGACTTACTTTGTATTTCTTTCCGAATAGTTGGACGTTGTAAAAGCAAAAGAGAAAAATACAAATATTTATACAGCAGCAGTTAACTTTTTAACTTATCTGTGACATTGCAAGTGAGATAGCTTTTGTTAAGCTAGTATCAATTATGTAAGGTAATGGATGCGCGCATAGAACTGATGTCAATAATCTGGACAACAAGTGTACCAACCACTTAGGTAAGTCTTTTCTTGTTATCTAATTAAAAATTTAGCTTAATATGTATTTTTTTGTATATTTCACAGCGAAACAGCATTAATGATTCAATATTTTCCACAACCAAAATAACGTAAATAACCACAAGACCGCAAATAATTTTAACAATAATTGAACAAAAGCAAAGAACAACATAGCAATAAAAACGAGCAACACAGTGTGTGCACGGTCGCAGCTTTCATAATACATCTACTAATATGCCTGTGATTTCGCCACGCAGATCATCGACATCGAACAGTGGCAGTCTATACGGCACCTCGTCGTCCGGAACTGGCAGTACAGGCACTAGTACCGCCAGTGCATATAGTAGTGCTTCGTCGTATTTGAATCGTACGAATAGCTTGTCGAAACCGACAACGCCAAGCAGCTCATTGTGGTCGTCATCGTCGTCTGGCACATCGAAATATACACCCAACTATTATAGCTCTTATTTGGGTTCGAATTCATCATCCTATTCGCCACGTACAGCATCACAACGTAATTCTTTGTCGTCTTTGTACCTGAGCGGCGGCTCCTCCGGATTAGGAACCTATCGTAGTAGTTCATCTTATTTGTCAGCCGGCAGCAATGATCCAGTTACATCCAGTCGATATGGAGTGAGTAGACAAACAAACAAACAACAACTACATAAAAGCACACAACATGTGTGCCATTCAAATGCTTTTGCTAAACCATATAAATATATGCATTGAGTATGTATATAGTGTGTAGGGCATTTTTGGACATTTGTGTAATGTCTAATTGAGTAGTGTTATTAGTAAACAAAAACAAAAGTGTGTAGCTGTGAGTGTTATCTGCTGAAATACATTATAAGCATGTAACATATACATACATGTACATATATCCATATGTAAACATTGCGTGCACCTTTCACCAATTACTCATTTGCAGCACACCCACTCGTGCTCACACACACACCTAAACACCCGTACAAACCCTTGGGACTGTCGTGTGGTATTTACATTGGGTTAGACGTTTGTTTAATAACCCTAGTGCTCTGCTTACACCTTTAGGCGGAATTCTTGTGTTGTGTTTTTAGAGTAGTTGTTTAACATGTCAATTGCAAGTTGCGGCTTTTAAATGCAACACAATTTTTTTTGACTAAAATTGTATATACCATCTATATGTGCTATCAAAAGTAAAAACATTTTGTGAAATATGTTTAGCACACACAAAGTCTTGGTGTTAACTGTGTGTTTGACAATCGTAATCGCAGAAAATCTTATCTATGTTAGATTTATATTGTTAAATTTCGATTAGTTTGCCGAGCGCTTTAAGTGCTTAATATGTGTAGTCTTCGTACAGTTTAGTTTAAAGTTCATAATCGTTCAGATTCTAAATAACACGTTTTTATTTGAACGCTTAAGCGGAAGATTTAGGATAGGTAGTGTAAAAAGTGTACTTTTACTTTCGAAACAAAACGACAAAGTGTCTGTGAAATTATAAAAAAGTTAATTGTAAATTAATTTACGAACAACTGTGTAAATATTTAATTGTGATTTAGTTTTGCCGCAGCGGTAATTAATAGTGAAATTCTGTTAAAATTTAATGCTGATGAACTTTACATGATCCCAAATGATAATAACTAAATGCCAAAATCATCGGTTTGTGTAGGCGTGGAATGATGTATAAAGATCGAATGATTACATAAACCACATTTTATTTAGTATATAATACTTCAAATCCTCATAAGAACTAGCACAGACGGACAATATTATTAAATATGCTTGATAATAAAGCGAAATAAATTATTGTAATTTATAAAATACTGATTGTCGAAGGTCTTACAGGGTTTAATGCACTATTTCACTATATATAATATATAAGGCTTATAAAGCGAAAATTGCATTCTACACAATGTTAATCAATTACACACTCCACTAGCTATTAACGCTCATATGGTGATAATTGTCATGTCATTGTCATAATCATGCATATGTACATACATTGGTCTACAAAATAATAGGAGTGCCAATATGAAAAATATATTTGGGTACATAACGCTTCTAAATCACATGTAAATGACTAGGTAAATTCACATTAAAACATAAAACAATTTTTTTAATGTGATGATTGTTATTCTCGTTCAATTTTGCTAGTTCTCGGAGACCCTTGAAATTGATTTCCACAAAAACAAAATAAAAATAGAAGTGTTAGACATTTCCTTACTAAAATAATCTTTAACTAAAAAAATATTCGCAAAATTAGAAAAGTAAGTAGAGTTTTCTTCAGTGGGTAGAGGAAAACATTCTACAGAGCTAAAGTGGGAAATGATAAAAAAAATTCGAAAACGAGGAAAAACGTATGAGGAGATCTAAGAAATGGAAGGATATTTTGCTCAAATGGTAGCAAATGCCTTAAATTATAGGAATACAAATGAAACAGATGGGCGAAAGAGCCAAATATCCATTGTTGACGATCCCAATATTTGACACTACTGCAAAATTAATGCTTTTGCGTCAGTCATGAACTAAATTTTTCAGATAATACTGAAACTTTTTGTAGGCAATTATTGCAGAACAAAAAGTCCGCGAAAAGTACCGCTATTAAAAAGAAGCACATAGAAGCCCGCATTTAATTTGCAAAAAAAGCATGCTTGTGTTTAAATGGCGAAATATCTTGTGATCATATGAATTCGAAATGGAAATATTTCTTAGTAAAAGTTCTAGAAACTTGCCCGGCATTCCCCTAAAATGGAAAATAATTACTGATTTACAATAAAAACCGTTAAATATGGCGATGCTATTGTATGGAGTAGTTTTTCACATAGTGGAGTTGGTCCAATTCTCTTAAGTGAAGGTCTCACGGATCAAGTGGCATATGTTAAAATAATAGATGAGGTAATGTTATGATATGCCTGATGGAATATAGCATTTATATAGTTATACATACAAGAAAAAATTCTGACCTCAATCCCATAAAAATCCACAGAACTGATATAAAAAATGTGTTATTGACCAAGCAATTCGAGTGATTTCTGGCAGTTAGTAAAAGTGAAGGAATGCAGGAAATAATTACCATTTCAACATTGCAAGGATCTCATTGACTCTATTTCTAGTTAGTGTAATGCTCCATTAATAAAACCAAAGCTATTCAAAGAAATATGAATTATTTTAATATTTAGTAGTAGTTTGAAATCATTTTAACTTAAAACTTTTAGAATTTTTCGTACTATATAGAATACACCCATTTTTATGTGGAACTAATTTTTTTAAACACAATCCGTGATATCAAATTTTCTTTACGTTTAATTGAAACATATGGGCTCTAGAAATATTAATATATCATCAGCGAATGTCTTTTGCAAAAATTTTGCGACTTAAAACATGTTTTTTTTTTATTAAAAATTGAAACATTCGTTTTGTCAATGATGTCACTCCTATTTTTTTGTGTACAACTGTATGTAGATACATATGTTTCATGCCAAAATGGCAAATATTTCATTAAACTGGCTAATGTGGCCACAAATTAGCTGCAAATATATATAAATACAAACATATATGTAGATATAATGTATAAGTAATCACACCTTAGCTTTTGCTTAAATTATGTACACTGGCTGCAACAACAACACCTGTACATACATATATCTGTTTGTACATACGTGACTCATATTTTTCTTTTCTGTATTTATGTTATATTTATTCGTTTGTTTTTGTCACAACAATCAATGCACATGTGAACGTGTAAAAATAATAATAACGACAACAACAACAACACCGCTATCAAATCAACCATCACAACAACAATCAACAACAATATCTGTCCAATTGCCATGGTCATTGTCATACTCATATTTCTATTTGCATCATAAATCACATATCTAATGGGGCAAACCGTTACAAATTCAATGCATCTGTAAATGTTGAACATAAAATAATTGGAAAAATCTTCACAAAAATGAAAAAAAAACGAAAATTTATGTAAAAAAAAACATACGCGCCTCAGTTACCCAAATCGCCCAAAACATCCGATACATTGCGCAAGCGTAAGGACAGAGATACGAACAACAGCAATGACAGCAGCGATGTGAACGGTGGTGGCGCTAAGAAGCCGCCTTCGGGTTCGGATGGGGGCAACAGACGCTTGTCAGGCTCATATTCATCCTCATCCCTAGCACGTTTAGTAGCGACATCTGGTCTGGAAATCTATGAAAAATACAGTCCCGCTAATTATAAACCCAATTGTGAACTTACACGTTCCAGCTCAGCGCTAACTGAGGCTGAGGTAGACGCAGTCTCATCCACCATCAGCGGCATTGGTGGCACGACAACAACGACGAACAATGACGAGATACGCAACGATACAACGACTAACATAACATTGGACCGTCCACGCAGTCGCTATAGTCGCTTGTATAGCGCCGGTGATGAGACTTCCAGTTACAGCAATAACAAATACAGTGACAGCAGCAGCAGCAGCAGCAACAATAAATATGACAACGACTTAACCAGCACTACAACAACCAAGCCGCACCGTTCCAGCTACCGCGAACGTGCAGCAGCAGCCGCCGCAGCGTCAGCAAAACAACAGGCCAACGCTCTCGCGTCCTCCACATCGTCATCATCTGTGCTGAGTCATAGCAGTAGCAGTGGTGATGTGCCGACCGCAACATTTACTTTGCGCAGCAATCGCACACCCAAAACCACAGTGACGAAGGCAGAGGAAAGCGTAACACTCAACAATGGCGATAAGAGCAGCATCAGTCGTCAAGGCAGCAAAACGAACCTAAACAGCAGTAACAACAGCAATAACACTTACACCAATGACCTTGAAAACAACTTGAGGGAGCTAAAGTTGTCCAACTCCGGCAGCGGTCTATATAAGGATAGCAGTAGCGGCAGCATAACCACCACTTTCACGATGCCGTTGCAGGCGAAGAAATCGCTCAGCACCAGCAATAGCAGCGGTCATCTCAGCGCTCTGACTACCTCAAACAACGACAACGATAGCGAACTAAAGCGCAATCATAGCGCCAACAATTTGGATGTGGTCGACCATAGTGCCCCAACATACGAACTTAAATCGAACAGTGCGGCAGCTGGCGGCGCTGAGGTGTGCGCCAGTGCAACGCTCAAAATGGTGGACACACCGATCACGGCGAAGAAGGTAAATCGCAGGCGACAACGCCACGCGTCGCTTCCAAGATGTCTGTGCTTTTGTGTTGAGCGCGTTTATTCCCCACATTATCCGCTGCGTTGCACACTAACTTTGCCTTGCTCAGCTTGTGCTGCTCCTGCTAACGGCAGCGCGTACTTTGCCAATGCATGCGCCTACTACTAACCACAATATTTGCTAAACTGAATACTTGTTTAATCGGTTATATTTAACTGTTTATGATTGGCGGGAAGAAATTCAGTCCACTTGATAATTTTGCTTCTAGTTTAAGGTATTTAAGGTTTTTGTGAATACCAAGCACACAGCCTATAGTACACATTATCCCGTTAGGATATGCATGCGCTCCACCACCACGTGACATCCAAGCACAATCAGTTTATCGGACATTGACGCTTGTCAATGGTTCGCTATTTGCTGCAGTGTTTTTCGTAGGATGTTTTTTTTTTCTAAAAAATGTGATATCTGTGAGAACGATACTGTTGTTTTTTCGAAAGGTACTATCAAAAGTATTTTTGAAATTTTCGAATACTGTTACGAAATTGCAAAATTGGAATTTCTTGGAGATTGATAAAAAAACATAATTCCTTGGACTCAAACTTGAAAAATTTTTTGGTCCAAAACAAATTTTTTAAACTTCATTGAAATGTTTTTGTTTTTTGTTAACAAAGATTACTATGGAATTTTAAGCTTGGTTTTATTTCAATATAGTCCACTATAAACCATATACTTTCATAAAAAAAAAATTAAAAATCATTTAACGTTCATGACGTCATAAAATTGTCATATCTTCAATATAAACAAAAAAAATTAAGTTCTCAAAACTTTTAAATATTTTATTTTGTGTTATTAAGAAATTTAGCAACACTTATTTAACATAGCAGTTTAATAGTTAAAACAACTATTTAGGAGATAATGAGAACTTGTTTTGCCTCTGTCATCCAATTGTTAAGACTGTCATATCAACCAAAAATGGTTGAAAACTAAAAAAAATTTTGAGATATGTTAATGAAACTTGGTACATGTGTTCCTTGGCAAAAAAAGTGTGGTCGAGTTCGTAGATGGGACCACTGCCACGCCCACAAAATCCCATTAATCGTAAACCTATAAAATGTCAGCACTAAATGAAATTATTAAACTGTAATTTGGCACAGTGGATCGCAGTAGCAAAGGGCATCTGTAGGCTAAATATTTTGAAAGAGTGGGCGTGGCTCCGCCCTCTAATAAATTTAATGTACATATCTCCTAAACCACTTAGACTACAATAACCAAATTCGCTTAAGACAAATTGTTTAAAAACTCCTACTGACAGTGTGAAAATAATATAAATAGCTTTACACTCAGGATGATAGAAAAGAGCTTTATATGAGCCGGTTTCAAAATTGGACGATGGGCGTGGCACCGTCCACATTTAGGTGAAAACCCATGCCACGGGACCTGCTCGACCGAATTCAAACAAACTCGGTAGTTTACATTACTATGACATTCGTATATTACAGTGCGAAAGTGGGCGAAATTGGACTACAAACACGCCCACTTCCCATATAACACAACTCTAAAATCCATCCGAGTCTTTAACTTTCCAGTACACAAATCAAGCACTAATGAATATATTCGGGAAAAACTAAAACGCAAATGGTGCCCTTGAGGTATGCGATATCGTGTCCAAAAAAGGTCAAAATCAGACTATAACTGTTCAAGCCCCCCATACCAAATATGTAGACCCCAGTGCGTATGGTTGACTTTTAGTTGAAAATATCGGTCAATCTATTAAATATATTTGGAAATCGGGGAAAATATTTCTTCGATAATAATATATGATTTTGTCACAAATGCGTTGAATCGGGTCAATACTTCTCTTAGCCCACATATACCTAATATAATATAATGATTTTCCAATTGACCTTATATCACATACATATATCGGCCAATGTGTGAGTTATTCTAATGAAGTAAAGCGAGCGTGTTTTTCTAATGACAGTGCATCTTTGTGCCTAAAATCAATAAAATCTGGTGAGAACTTGCCTTAGACCCCATATAACTGACATTTAGGATTTTGAAACGTCCGGCTAACTTGACTCCATATATACAATGTCAAAAAATAATGCAATCAGCTCTGTCATCTCTCTGCCCCCGATATACCCTATATAATGATTTCCGACTTTTCACCTGACTTCTTGCAAGTTGCAAGATTATAAAATGTTCGGTTACACCCGAACTTAGCGCTTACTTACTTGTTCCTTACTTGTTTACTTTGTCTACTGAACAACAAAAAAAAAACATTGAAACATTATAGACAACAATTTTTAATTCAAATTTATAGCCTCGCCTCCGCACAGACAAATGTATGTAGTTAATATTAAGATATTAGAGATTTTAGTGCGAAACATACCTACATATGTATGTATATGTACGCATAGATATATAGAAATATATTGTATAGTTTATCTGAATGTAACCAAATCTCTGAACAAATTAGCCGACACTGCGACGCCCACATTATATCGAAGTACATAACCATTTATGTACATATATATATATGTAAATAAGTGTATAAATAAAGTTGAATGTGCCGTAAAGGCAATGCGCCACAACCAACGGTAGCATCATCGACAGCGTCATCATGCCATTCTCAGTATTATGATCAACCTTTACCCACCTTCGAACAAACTAAATACAATACATACATACATACAACCATATCCATTAACATACATACATACATACATACGCATTACTAACCAAAAGCATCGTCATGTAACTTGTTTGTGTTTCCTCTTCTGTGTATTTTCTAGATGAATATTCGCAGGCCTTGTTGCTGTCACTGAATAAAACGCCTATGTATTTTTGAACTCCTCTCCTCACCCCCCACAAAAAAAAAACAAACAAAAGAAAAAGCGAAACAAAAACAAAACCAAAAAAAAAAATTACTAACCAATAATCAAGAGCAGAAACAAAAATAAAATAGAAATAAAAAGAAAGCAGTAAAAGTATAGAAAAATATGCAACAACAAGATGTGTGCAACAACAAGTTTAACGCGAAAATTTCGGCAAAAATTCTCAGTGAAAGCAAAAAAATTGATGATATTTCTAAATAATTAGTAGTGTGCGCAAAAACGCGGCGAACAGCAACGAAAAAATTATAGAAATTATAGAAAGACAGGCGAGAGAAAAAAAAAGTGACAAACACTTAAAAAATACGGCAAATTGCCAAGAAATAAAAATAAAATAAAAAAAAGCAAGAAAATAAACTCAAAAACCTACAAACGACAAAGCAAATTAACGAGGCTTATAATTAACTGAATACCTTCCACATTCCACAGCAGCAGTATGCCATAGCGCGTAAGAAAACATAAATATGAAAAATATGTGCAGATATACGCAATAAAATACATACAAACATACATAAATCAAGCCGACAAAGTGATAAAAGTGTAAATAGAAAGAAAGCCAATAAAACAAAAAAAAAAACAGTAAACAAAAAGAGTGTAACGGAGCAGAAAAAACATTTGGAAACTCGAATATTCGTAAAGTATAATGATAGACATTAAAAAAAGCCGCAATAGTTTTGAAAAATTTCCAATATTGCAAGAAAAATGTAATAAAACCGTTCAATTAGCGCAGCGCCAACAGCAGCCGACCAATTCCAACTTGAATAACTATACAGGCGTACACAAACCGAAAATAACCACTACAGCTGCAGCAGCAACCGTGTTGACAACCACAACAAAAACGCGACCACAAACAACAACAAATCCAATAAGTGTCAACGGCAAAGCGGAAGCGAAATTGCTCAACTGCGTTAGTAGGCGTGCTGCATCGGTGGGCAGCACGCGCAACACCAAAATCAGCAGCAACGTCAAAAGCAACAATAACAATAGTAAGCCGCACAACAGCGACGACACGAATCCGGTGCGCGCCGCCAATAAGCCATTCTTTCTCGTACCGCAATTTCAAGATCAAAACTTTCTGAAGGAGGAATGTGAATTGGCGCATGCGCAAGTGGCACCAAAACAAAAACAACAACAACAGCAACACGAACAGCAAAAAGTTGCAACAGCCAATGGTGAGGCAAGTAATAATAGTGCGAACAACAACAATAACACAAAACCAAAACAACAACCGATTGGCAACCACAGGTGCAACAGCGGAGACTACAGCAAAAGCAATAACAATACCAGCAACAGCAACAATCACAGCCAAAAAATCAACAACGCGTATTCCATCATTAACAGCATACACGCGAGCATTAGTAGGCGAACAGCAACAGCAACAGCAACAACAACACCAGCAACAGTGGCGGCGGTAACAGCGAATGGTGTGCGACGCAGCGGCGGCGGTAGCGCCAACGCCAGCGTCAATATCAATCAACATCATCACAATCATCACGTCAGTACAACCGCATCAGCTGTGGCGACGACGAGTTCAAACGGCAGCACCGCTGCCGCCGCCGCCAGCGTCTCGGCCAAGAGCGCCACAACCGATACCACCGTCCACAAAGTCGACATTGTCTTCAATAATCGCGCGCAAACGCAAAGTAACTGTGTTGGGCGTTTCGTGACGTCAAAAAGTGCGAAACAGCCACAGCAACATAACACTTACAAAGCTACGCGTCCGCTTACCAGCGCGACAATACACACCACAACAACAACGGGCGCGTCAGCAACAAGCGCCACTGCAACGCTTGGCGGTGGCACCGCGACAGCGACAGCGTCTAAACTGAGCAACGGTCAAAGTAAATTGGTGCGTCCGCTGGTGCATCGCACCATACCATCGACTGCGGTGGCGGCGGCGAATGCGACCGCTGCGCGCGACAACGTGAACGCCTACTCCAATAAACTCTTCAACAGCTACGGCAGCAATAGCAATCGTCTTAGCAATAATAACAACAATAATATTAATAATAACGGTGTGAATACTGTGTGTAATATCAACAATAGCAGCAGTAGTAGCAACAACAATATCACGAGCAATAACACCAACGGTGGCAGTGGCGTTAACGGTATGCAACATACGCTCGATCACGACGATATCAAGTACATCGATAGTGATGACGCGCCGACAACAGCAGCGATAGCGGCTGCGCATGCCAGCGCTACTACGGTCACTACACCGTCACGTGGTGGCGCGCAGTTGGAGCGGAAAACGCAGTTGCGCTGTGAGCAGCTCTGTTGTCCGCATACCAATTGCGCGACGTCTACAACGGCAACGCTGACAGGTGCTGCTGGTGGTGGCGCTGGCAGCGCGTCGCTTAAAACACGCATGCGCCCAAAATCGACGATCATCTGTTCCACCAGCAATCTCGTCTTCGAGAAGATCAACAATTATAAGTATGCCAATGGTAGCGCTGGTGGCGGTAGCAGCGCGGCTAAATTTGTCGCCGAAGCAGCGGCAGCGCGCCGCAATGAGCTGCGGCACAGCATTGATTCGAATAGTATCAGAGCGTCCATTGAGAAATTCGATAGTTTCAGCGAGCAGAAACGTAGTGTAGGCGCGCCGCAGGTAACGCTACGTTCACACGGCGGCAGCGGTAGTACAAACAATTTGCAACATCATCGTCATAGTGGCAGTGAGTTTGATCACGCTACCGGTAGCAGCAGTCTCTTGCGGCTAGCGCAAAGCGGAGGTGGCTCTTTGACGCGTGCACCCTACCGTACAGTGTCGCCCGCACCGGCTACTGCCTGCAAAGTTACTGCCACAATGCATGCGCCCTCGTTGACGACCGGTTCGACTGGTTCGTCGGCGTCATCTATACGCAGCGGCGCATGCAGTACAAACAGTTTGCCAACGAAAAGTCTTGGCAGCTTTTTGGCTGCCACAACAAATGCAACCAGCGTTACCGCCATCAATCGTCATCAGGAGGCAACAGTATTGCGTACTGCTGAGCGTGCTTCACCCAGCGCGCTGCTGCATAAAGATGCGGCGTCAACGCCATCGTCATCCTCGTCATCACCACTGCTAAAGCAAACCGTAATGAAATTGCCGAATGGCGATGTAAAGAAGTGCGCGAACGCGGAAATGAATGGCGTTTGCGACGGCGCCGCCGCGGATGTTGAAACTGTAAGTTGCACTCACCAAAAACACAGAGAAAAACAAATGTACAAAATGCTACAATTTATCAGTCACCCACAAAAAAAAAAACACGTTTACCAGCATTTAATCACTCCCTTCACACCAAAACTTACACTATTAGCACCGTCAAGTTCACCAATTGCTCATGCCTCACCCAAGAAGCGACGTAATTTCATCAGTTTGGCAATTCTTCAGTTCCTCTCAGTTTATCTGTCTCTTAGTTAGCTATCTTAAGGGTTTCTATGTTATGTTTTTCACGTGACACCGTCGAATTTTTTTTTTTTTAATATCAGTTTCCACTCATCATCCACCAGCTTCGAGTTTAGCTGAGTGAAAGGGTTTAACAAAATTAATTTTTTTTTTTACATTTTACGTTTTAATGCTTTATTTACATAACAAAAAAAAATAAAAATAAAATGTATTGTATGCACGAAGCAAATAATCACGCTGCCATTTAATAACCTAACCTAATTTTATTTTAATTTTCAACTAACTTTTCTGATCCTATTGGCTTTAACAGTATTTTATGTATGAATTCTTAGACGAATATGTTTTTTGTGAGTCGCAACCTTTTCTTCAATTTAATTTTATAATGATTTTCGCTCAAGCGCTGTTTCCAGCAATCATTAACCACTTATTAACCCCCAAAAATAATATAAAAGAATCCTTCACTTGCGCCCGACAAAAATCTTTGTACTTTACTCACAGCTTTTTTTTTGTTGTTTCTAGCGTTTTGCTTTTCACAAAACTTTTACTAAAAACGAACTCTTTTCAAGCTTTTTATTAAACATATTTAAAAAATATTTCTTTTTTCACTTTTATTTCTTGTTTTTTTTTTTTCCTGTGCCGTTTCACAGATCCGCAGCACAGCACTACGGAGTATCCCTCCAGCACCGCCATCGCCGACAGCTTCACGTTACAGGGATCGTGATAGCCGTTTAACGTCGTCATCTTTGCTCTCCTCATCGGTATCGTCGGTGTCTAATAACATAGACGATGCCAGCAAATCGAAGGATGAGAACGCAGAAGGTATGTGTTTGTATCATATTATAAAAATCTAAAATTTAAAAGCCAAACGTTGAAGTTTATTGTAGCTAACAGGTGAGGGCTCCATCAAGTATTGATTGTAAAATAAACCAACTTTTAAATATTTTGCCAAATGCGAGTCCAATATCTTTTAGACAAGTTTCGTATATCTTGACACATTTCCTAGTCAAATGGGTTTTTTTTTTGTGTAAATCATAACCCAATATAACTCCTTACTCCGTTATCTGAATATAAATGCAACATTTTCTATAAATAGCGTTATCGCAATAAAATAGTCTCAAATTCAAACGCTTTCAAAGCTTTACAAAAAACTCTTTAGCGTAAAGATAATGAAAATGATACTTCATACAAATATAAATGTTTAATCCGTTCTACTTAAGGGATTATATCCACTGTTTATTTTGTGATTTTGAGGAGACAATTAAAATATATAAATAAAAATAGTGTACATTTTCATAATTGTACAATAAATTATAATAATTGGCCGATCGCCAGCAGAGCCTCCGAAAAAAGGACGAGGCGACGAGAAAGATTTTTCTACTTTAAATTCTCTTAAATTCAAAAACAAACAATTTACACTTCAGAGTGGCTTAAAAAAGTGTTATTAAAACTCTTATTCCTTTGCTCATTTCCTGATTAATATATCTAAGAACGTCGTGTGAAAATTTTAAGTTGATCGGTCCAGCCGTTTCGGAGAAATGCGCCTCGTCGACTTTGAAAACAGCGTTGCGACAAAAAACGCATTTACAGTTTTGTGAGCCGATCACTCTCAGTTAAAAAATTCCTACAAATTCGCTCATATCTCCGAAACTATTGGCTGGATCAACTTTAAAATTTCGCAGAATATGTGTATATTCAAAAAATCGACTTTTTGAAATTAACAAGTGGAAAGAAAATAGGTTCCACATGTAAAAACATTAAAGATTTTGAATTTTTTAAAACTTAACCTCAAAATATGACATTTTTAAATAAAAAATACAATCTCTCTTTAAATATTCTGTAATTTTGGTCCAATAGCTTCGCCGTAATCACTTTTTGAACACCCCTAGCCTGCTATAAAAATACAATATTGGAATTGTTTGAATTATGTATTTTCCTTTCTCTTGTGCTTGTCATACACTTAAAAAAAATCCGAAATGTTGGCAGTAATTTAATTTATCGGATAGTTTGTCAAAATATATCACTTTTGTCGCGTCATTAGTACAAATTTTTGTTTACCTCTGAATGTTATTTCGGGCCGAACCTGGTGTGCTGTTTATCTGCTTAAAATTTAAACTTTCTTTCAATTAATTTACGAAAACAATAATTATTTAACAGAAAACGATTGACACGATAGTATGAAGTTAATTCACTTTTCTTGCACGTCTTTCCAACAGGTCTATGTGGGCTAAGAAATATCGGAAATACTTGTTTTATGAACTCGGTAATTCAGTGCCTGAGTCACACGAGCGAATTGACAAAATTCCTGCGTACACACAATGGCATACGCTCGACATCGTCGAAGGATCAACAAATCCTACAAGGTGAGTGCAAACCGTATGTGATTAGAAGAGAGCGAGAGAGAGAGAGAGTATAACAAAAAGTTTAACGGCGTTTTTATTTAACGCCACAGAGTTTGCTAAGTTGATACGGGAGATGTGGACAAGCAATGTACACAGCGTCACGCCGATGGACCTGAAGCGCGCCTTTTCCTCCAAACATCGCATGTATAGTGACTATAACCAACAGGATGCACAAGAGTTTCTGCGCTTCTTCCTCGATTCACTGCACAGTGCACTAAATACGGGCGTGAAGGGGGAACACTTGAAAATCGACGATAACCTCAGGTGAGTGCGAAAGGGATTTGCCACAGATCGTATATGTATATAATATATATTCTTGCTTCTTTAGCGACAATAAAAAAGCCGATCTAACGTGGGAATGGTACGCACGACACGAGAACTCACTCATACGCGACCTCTTCGTCGGCCAATTGAAGAGCACATTACGATGTACCACCTGTGGCAATACAAGCGTTACGTTCGATCCGTTTTGGGATTTGAGCGTCTCGTTGCCATCGTTATCGCGCTGCAAGCTAGAATCTTGCCTCGATCTATTCATACGCGAAGAGGTGTTGGATGGCGATGAGATGCCGACCTGTGCGAAATGTCGCCAAAGGAGAAGGTGCACGAAAAGCTTCACCATACAACGATTTCCCAAATATTTGGTTATACGTAAGTGTTGATTTTGGCGTATAGTCAGTTTTTGTTTCCAATATATATTATATAATATTATTTGTTGTTACAGATTTGAAGCGTTTCTCGGAGACCCGTTGGAGCAAGCTGTCGAACATTGTCGAATTTCCGACTGGTGAACGTGAATTGAATATGGGTCCCTACGGTTCGAACCCTGGCACGAGCATATATTACTCGCTGTATGCGATTTCGAATCATATGGGTGAGTGAAATGGAGTTGATGTTGGTTAAAACCACTTTTTTTTTCGAAAGGATATTTTATTTTGGGAGAAAGATTGAATATTAATCCAAATGAGTATATGTTCGTTGCAAGTTCCCTTCAATAAGTTTTTTAATAAGAGGTTGTAACGGAAACGCAAAGTGGGACAGGGCGAGAGAGAGAGAGACAGAGAGCAATTTATTAAAAAAAATGAAGCAAACTATAATAAATTTAAAATCAATATATTAGTAACAATTTTATTTCCCAATTTTCAAATATTTTTTTATACTGACCTGTTGTTCGTCCTTGGAAAACCTAGTTTTTTTCGAATTCCCCGTTCGTTTTTGGCATTTTATAAATCCCGAAATTTCGGGTTAAATTTTAAAAATTTTGGGATCTCTTAGGATTTTTGTTTATAAATTTAAGGGTAATTTATTTTTAATTATATTAATAAATTTATTTAATTTAAGAATAATAAACTAGTATTGTTCTTTATCAGAGGTAGGGGAAAACTTTTAAGGCCATATTAATTATAATGCACACATACAGTAATGTATCTCATATCTTGTTTCCATTTTTTTTTTAAATAATATATAACTAATGCACTAAGTTGGATTTTCGGGATCTTGACCAGGTCCCGAAATTTCAGAATATGAAAAGACATGGAGTCTAGGTCAAAAACATAACTTTCTGAACATATACTAATTAAGTTTTGAAAACCGTTGGTGGTCAGTAAAATTTGAACGATTATGCAAGGGCTATAATCATTACACCCACTTTTCAACAATATACAATATATTGCGCTGGAAAATGTATATTTGTATATTATTATTATGTTAAGTAATAACGGATTACTAAAAATTCAAAATTACTTCTTTTGCCTACAGGCTCCACAGCTGGTGGTCATTATGTGGCGTTGTGTAAACATCCGGTATCAAAAAAATGGCACGAATTCAACGATAATGTGTAAGTATTTTCAACAAATTTTAAACGTTTTAAAATTTCTGAAAAAGAACCTTCATTTGCAGTGTAAGCGACACGCTCTCCGAAAATAATCTAGTTTCATCCAGTGCCTATATACTGTTCTATGAGCGAGCGTAAGAAATAACTCACGCGTGTAAAGAAATAAAAAGCAAACATACTCACATCAACACGCATTCATGCACACATACACTCATAGCCAATCTTGCAAATTAAGTCTTATGTACAAAACAAAAAAAAAAAAACAAAGGGTACACCTACTAACAACAAACTCTGTAACCTGTAGAAAAATGAAACTGGATATGATGACATCTGCAACAAAGCTGCATAAGACAACCCTGCCCGGCAACGGTTGAAGAGAGCAAGTTAAGCCAGACACGTGATTTAGCCATTAATTCGCATTGATTATGCAACACTCTACCCACACACCTTAAAAATTGCAACTGCTACTTAACCCTATTGTGACTCCTCTCTTATTTTTTACCTTATACTAATGGCTACTGCGCATACATACATAAATGATGATTACTAAACCCAAAACCTCACATACATACATATAGTAAATTTCTAAAACTATTTATGCTGCTACCTAAAACTATTGCTAATTAACTAAAAGCAAAAACAAAAATCAACTAAATTAGCAAATAAAACAAAATAAAAACATTTAAGGAACAGTTAACGCCATCTCCTACTACTACAACTACACACACTTGCAACTGCTATCAGCAACTATTATGCAGCGTGCAACATGCAACTTGTAACTTGTTTAGAAAGAAAGCAAAAACAAAAAAGGGTTCAATTATCAATAAGTTGATTGACGTACAACAACGATGTGACGCTGATTATTTTTACACGCCAAATTCTGTAAATCTCTAAATGTAAAAATGTGCAATTTTCGATCGAGTCCAAAGATATATACCAATATATATATATATATATATATACTTATATGAGTGTACATATATACATACATGCATACATAATATAGAAACGGATACTGTACTTCTTGTATAAATGTAAAAAAGCCGAAAGCAACAAAAAATTATATGCCGTTATATTTAAAAGATATACTATATTTAAATAATATGTTCAAGCAAGTGATTAAATCGAATAACAGTGTGTATAAGCGATTTTTTAAAACGCATCGTTTTACTATATACATCTATATGTATAAATATAAATTGGTTTTCATTTTGAACGATATGTATGTGTAAGTGAATGGGCGTTAGCCGTGCGGCCGACAGAGACGCTTTAAGTTACGTTATTGGCTATTTAATTGAAGAATTATATATATGTACATATATATATTTTAAATCTTACTCCTTCCTTTATTGTTCGAAATGGAAGCATAGCTAAATATATAAGTATGTAGCTGTTTTATTTATTATATTATATTATGTAATATTTGGCTTAAAATTTTAGTAAAGAAAATTTACAAAAACTAAATGCTGCTAACACTTGAGTGCGCTTGTTTTAAATACTAACAGCTAATAATGTAAAAAATAAGCGTTTACCAAGATATTATTTATTAAACACATATGTACATACATACATACATATGTTTGTAACTGATGCAATAGCACTTAGGGCACAGGCGCAACTTAAAATGTATATTAAACTACTTACCTACCTTAAATACTAACTAAAAACCGCGCATATATGTATTACATAATATACACAAGTATATATGTATATATGTATATGGAGATGTGCAGAGAAAACCATATTGCTATTAAAAAATAAGTTTTTATTGTATGCGAACGCGTTAAAAACAAGAGCATAACACAAAGTAAGAGAGAAAGCTAGTCCTAAAACAACAACACAATAAAGTTAGACTAAATAAAATGAAAAGAAAAATGTAAAAAAAACTATTTATTATTGCTAAATAAATTTATTATAGCAGACAAGTGTAGGTAAACAAATAAAATTGCGGGAAAGCAGATGAGCTGCAAATCTGCTAGAGTGAAAAAAGAAATTAACAAAATATAATAAAAAAAAAAAACAAATTTTTAGGTTAAGTGCAGAAGCTAATAGCAAAATAGTTTGAAAAACATAAAAAAAATTAATAAAGTAATATAACAAAAACAAAAGCACGCATGCCTGCGAATAGTGTATAGAACAGTGAATGGAGAATATACGACGGGATTTTATACTAAATGAATGAGTAAAAACACTAAAAACCCCAAACAAAAATAATGAACCAGCAACACTAAAATGTATGCAAACACATGCATATGCAGATAACTGTATATTTAAAGGACTAACAATACAACAACAACAACAAAACCAATCAAATAAAATAAAACTATTCAAACGGTATCAGTAATAATGATCGGAACTGCTGTCCAAGCGATAATGTGCGGACGAAGAATTTGATGCATTCAAATACAACAACAATAAAACACTAGTGAACCAGCAAAACCAAAATGTGCTTTTGCCGTGCAACTAAAAGCGATACACATACATACATCACATACAACACTTTATATACATATATACATGTAAATTTCATCTACACTCACAACAACAAAAAATAGAAAAAAAAATAGTTTATAATAAAAATGTTGCTTATTATACAATAATATTCCTGAAACATATGAAATGCGAAAATGTGTAGAATGCTTTGTAAAACAACAACAACAAAAATCGTTATTAAATTGCGTGTCACAAGAAAAATTTTGTTATTTATTTTATGCTGCTGTTAATTTACTTTTAAATACATACATATGTACGTACACAGTTACACGCTTGTATATATACAAACGCGCAAGCACTCACACACCCATGCATAAATGTATGTACATGTAGATTATTTATTTTGTTGATAGCTAAGTTATGTGTATGTGTGTGTTTGTGCTTTGTGCCTACTTTATTTATTTGTAAAGTGCAACTTTTATTTGTTTTAAATATTTGTAAACATTTTTGTTTGTTTGATAAATGTGAAATGCAAATTTAAAAAATTTACAACAATTAAAATTATTTGTTACTTGCTTTCAAAAATTTATTACGTTTTATTTATTTTTATATACATATGTGTTATAGCGTGCGTATGCGGGCAAATTACAGCTATAAACTAGATAGAGAGGGTATAAAAAATAACAAATTAAAACAAAAAATATTTAATTAAAAAAACTATAAATATAAAAATAAAACAAATTAAAATAATTTAAAAAAAAATAAAAAAATATATACATATACATACATAAAGGAACATATGTATATTGAAAAATAAAAAAATAAATATTAAAAAAACTAATATTTTCAAAATAAAAATATATAAAAAAAACTTAAATATTAAAAAACAAATATTTTCAAAATAAAAAAAAAATACATATATACTAAATGCAAAGAAATACAACACAGAATATGTATTTATGTACAATATTATTGATTTCTCATACTAACAGCGTGTTGCTAAAATTGCATAATGAATATTTAAAAATACAAAAAATAAGCCGAAGCAAAAACAACAACATTAGTAAATAAAAGTAAAAAATACAGTTAGTAAAAAAAGTAAATAAAATGCCTGCAACAATACTTAAAAAGAAGTATTATGTAATTATTTCAATTGAAATGGAAAATATAAGACAAACAAAACCGTAATAATTTCTAGTGTGTTAAGGAAATTGCTACTTAAATCAGAAAAAAAGAATAAGAAAAAACACAAAACTAAATGAAGAAAAAATGGTCTTCATTTCATTGAAAAATCAAATATATATTTAAAATACTAAAAAGATAATTTGGTTGAAGAATTTTATTTATGTCAGACACAATGGTGCACAAAAAGCCTTATTTAATTTTAAAACAAGAAAAAACGTTAACTTCGGCTACACCGAAGTTGCAATACTAATAATACCAAATAAAAACTTGATTTTCATCGTTCAGTTTGTATGGCTATTCCGGTGAGAGAACGCATTATAACCATTAACCCAGGAGCTTTACCCAGTCATATCAAGGGTTACACGAACTGCATTTCTCAAATTTCAATCTATTTATTGCTACTTGTATTTCTCTTGGATAAAAAAGGGTGTGTGCAAAATATCAGCCCGATTTCTCAAAAAATGAGGGACTAGATCGCGTATATATAGACACACAGACTGGCATGACTAAATCGACTCAGCTCGTCACGCTGCTCATTTTTTATATATGAGAGGTGTTGAAAAAACCCGTAATTTTCGTTTTTTCAAAAAAATATTTGTGAAAATCGTGTCTCAAGTTTTTCAAAATAGGAACGAAGACTTCTATGAGAGAAACATAGTGAAATTACCTTAAAATGGCAACTAGTTATCGATTTAAAACGACGCATATTTGACCAAAATCGGATCATTCTAACTATGGTAATTAAAGCCTTCAGTTTAATGCAAAAATAATGGATTTCTTTTTACTACACCAATATATATAATTTATAGGATCAACGACGTTTCCTTCTGAGTGCTACAAACTTCGTGGCAAACATAATTACCCTGTTCAGAGTATAAAAGAAAAATAAAAGTGGGTATAATCTTAGTAGACGTTGTCCTGACAAAAACTCGCTTAGACTTCTAGCACAGAACTTTACAGATATTATTTATCTAAGTTCACTTTCTTCAATAAGTCTCGGATTGATTTTCGTGATATAGTACCATTTAGGACTCTATTAGCTGAAATTGAAGTATTTTCCCCGACTTAGTCGTATTTTGAGTTTTTACGATGGGGGGGTTTAGTCCCTTGCTTGTAAATATTTGCGCTGATCTCGGTGACTTAGAGCAGAGATCCTAAACAACAAGTTTGTAAAAATTTCATATACAAAACTGTGTTGAGCCTAATAGTGTTCTAAAAAGCAACAAATTTTATGAAAAGTCTAAGGTCTTAATTGCAGAAATCTCGAAAATTATCCTATCGAATTCTAGAATTGGGTATACACCAGACCGTATAAAGTAAAGTTAAAGCGATCAAATTATCGCGAGTTCTGATCTCTCTAGCACCTGATACAATTTGAACTCCATGCCGGTAACGGTTTCTGGAATGTTAATGCCTTTTGGTGTTATAAAGATATAGAATTTATTAAAACCACGAAACCACAAAGTTCAAGTTACATATAAAACGAAACGACATATATATGCTAAAAGCAGGTCGATAGTAGACCCTAAAAATTGAGAAATATGATTCAACTGAATATAACCGCTTTACAATTCGTCTCGTATTTTCTTCTCCCGTTGTTCCGCCGGAATGTGAGCTTTGAGTTGTCGCCAGAAATCTGTACGATCGCCATAAATATCACGCTCCATTTGTAGCACAGTAAATTCTTCGGGTATCTTGTGACCCAAACGAGCATAATTGACGGGATAGCCGTTGACGGGCCCCCAGGGGGTTAAGTTGGAGGCTGCAGGCGTTGGATTACTGTGAATATTAATTAAATAATTTAATAAATTATAAAGCAAAAAATGTGTTGACCATTCAAGACCCACCCCTCTTTAGCGAAGTTCACCCACATTTCGAGTATGGCCTCGCGCAGTTGAATGTCGATCTCGGTGGGTGATGAGCGTATGAAGAGACTAAGACCCAACGGAAAGAGGTATTGCAATTCATCGGCATGACATGCGCCTAGAAATGAGTAGAATTTGCCTATTACTTTAAGGAGCTACACTTTTTGAAAAGAAGTTTTTACCGAAGAAATCTTCAGTGTCTCCACCGAAACGTTCGGAGAAACTAGCTGGACTACGATGTTCGAAGAGATATACATAAAAAGGCGGCAACTGTTTTGAGTTTTGAGCTTCAACGCGCTGTTTGATGTACTCATCAATACCAGCAATAAACCAGCCATCAGAGTAAAGCTGTCAGAAGATAAATAAATTACAGCCGAGCTAATTATGATTTTCGATTTGTGGGCTCACTTACGTCCGTGAAATTGTGATGATTGTTTTTGTCATAGTTATGCCCCTCTTTGAAGTAGTACTGTTCTATTTGCTGTGTAATCTCATCTCGCACTTCCGGTTTATGATGGTCGTATTGCAGTTGAACTGGTAGAATCTTTTGAAATTGGTTTTTAAAATCACCCAAGAGCCCAGGTATAGTAAGTAAGGGCACACTTTTGAGTAAACCCTCCTCCGCGGTAGCACCAATTATAAGTGGTAAGGAGAAACCATGTGGCATGCCGTCATCACGTGGTAAAACAGTTAGGAATGCACCCTCATGTGGAGGCTCAACAACAGGTTGAAATGGCATCATGGGATCAAAGTCCCATTCCTAAAGGAATCCAATCATACACAAGTTTTGTGGACCATACCATACCATATAAGCTCTATTAAAACTCACGTAGAACTCATAGAGTGTAGCAACGACATCACTGGCTTCTTTAGTACGTAGGCAACGCAATATATTTTGCCAATTTTCCTCGGGATTACATCCAACCAAATGGGCCACCTTCCGTGCACGCTTTGCGGGTATACCTTTATGCTCTGGCTGTGCCCAGGGGTTGTAGTACGAACCGGACTGTACTATGGCTTTGTGAAAGAGTCCTGCAGTTAAAAACAAATTACGTGGTATTATATTTGTAGTGCAGAAGATTGTTACTAATTTGTATACTACCTTTCGATAAGCTCGATGCCAATTGATATGTAACACTAGCGCCACCCGCACTATTACCGAAAATCGTAACACTATTCGGATCTCCACCGAATGCGGCAATGTTTTGCTGTACCCAACGTAAAATCTGCGACTGATCTTTTAAACCGAAATTGCCGGGGCAATCTAAGGTCTCAGTACTTAAGAAGCCGAGTGTTCCCAAGCGGTAGTTGCCGGAAACCAATATAATATCATGATCTAGTAAATAATCTGGCGCATAGAAGCTGGTCCCGCCAGATCCGGCAATAAAACCACCACCATGAATATTAACCATAACCGGTAAGGGTTTCGATGTTCGTGGTTTCTTCGAAGTCAAACAATAATAAAAATGTGGATTTGTGCTGATTATACGTAATGCGTCAATAATAAACCTACCTCTGGCGTGTATACATTTAGATAAAGACAGTCTTCACTGCCGACGATTTGTGTTTGGCGTGTAAATGGATCGCGTTGTATGCATAGTTCTGATTCTCTTATCGCGAGACGCTCACCAGACCAAGACCCGTACGGTACTGGTGGCTAAGCAAGAAAAAAGAAATATATGTACTCGTAAATGACATATTGTTAAATAAGAGAGTACGTAAGGAAGGTATACGCCATAAAAATGCACTCTTTTTAAAGACACTGATTTCTTGTTATCATTGTATTTCATTCGGTAGTTGTTTAGAAAAATAATAAAATAATTAGAAAAAAAATCAAGGGTCAAATGTATGAAGGTCTTGCTCAAAGTTTTTAGTTGACCAAGGTATGAATGATTGCTAATAGCCCTATGAGGGTAAGAGAGAGAGAGACTCGACATATATTTGGCAAACATATAAGAGAAGTATAAGAACAAGCGGTTGTAATTGGCATTTATGGATCCTATATAAATAGAAAGTGAAAAATAAATCTTAAGAGCTTTTTAATCCACCAGTAATGTGATGATCAGACTTTTCATCGTAAACAAAGATTTATTTAGCTTATCAAATATAAATCACTATTTTATAAAAGTGTGCTACATACTCTGGCTAAAGGACAGCTATAAATTATATTAATGATCGAGTTCTACTTTTGAAAGCTTGAAGACTCAGACTAGGATACATCATGAATTTTGCACTGCACTTGCGACTGGATTATAAAACGTTGGGGTGTTGTTAGGACACGAAATAATTCATAACCAGGCTTTGCCTCATAATGAAAAATTTATCAGATTTTAGAAGCTCTAGACCTGCAGGTCCCTGTATTTGCAAAATACATAATGCGGCGCATAAGAGTGCTTTTTCTTTATTTATGAAACACAGTATAATACAAAACAGTAAGAATAAGAATTATTAGGACCTGTTTTATATCTTTCTGACCAAGTAGGGTCGGTAGGATTTCGGAGATAACATTAGACGCGCTAAGCGATAGTTAACGATTTCATCGTAGATGGCGTTTTCTTATTAGAACTAATTTTGTGACTTGGAAACGCTATTAGAATATTCCCCTCACTTCACTTTTCGTCGCATAACATGACTATTTATTACACTAGTGACTTTTGATAATTTTATATTTATATAGACTTTACAGTAGCACTCTTTGAAGAAATATTTTCACTCACTTTAAACCTCAAATCGCCCACAGGCGGCAGCGCATACGGCACGCCTATAAAGGCGCGTACATGTCGCCCTTTATGTGAGGTCCAATGCCGTCCCACCAGCACTCCGCCATGTGGTAAACGGACTTTTAGTTTATCCGATGTACGCGCCGCGATCAATACGTACAAATCACTCAAAGTGAGTAGAAAAAGTATAGCAAACACTAAATACTTCAAAGCCATTTTATTTTATAGGCAGACCACTGAATCAAACGTTTCTATCACGTTGTTGGTCGGATAGCAACTGACACTTATAGGGGCTATTGGAAAGCTTTTGAGATAGCAGTTCTGTTTGCCAAATTAGCCGTCCGTAGATCCGCTATCAACATAGCTGAGAGCGGCGTGAAATAGACATTCAGTGAGTTGTGTGCTCAGTAATTACCCGGTAGGGAGAAATCAAAGTAAGAAGACACCTTTGTGAATAAGAACTTATCAGAACTAGTACAATTTTGCCTAATTCTTACCACTTCTAAGTAGACCAGTTCATGTATTTTGATGAGAGGACGACATAGCAATAACCACATCCATACATGTATAGCAACTGTGATCCCTTCATTACATACAACTTCTTAAAATACATGGATCTACAGATAGTTCTGTTTCTAAGTGTAAAATTTCGTATTCGTTTTTGTACTAGTTTGGATGTAATGAAAATGGAATGCAACGTAATCAGCTGACTTTTGAGTCGGCATATCTGGATTATACTCCTTAGACGCTTACATATTTGGAGAATGTTATTAGCTTCAACTTACATATGTGGAACGCTTCTCTGCTGGGTATTTCATCATATAAAATTATAGATTCGAACTTACTTAATCACTTATGATTGAATAATATTCTCAGTGAATTGTTGTTAGTTACCTGAGGGTTGTGAGCATATGTATATACTAGTAAATTAAGAATTCTTTTTATACCCTGAACAGGGTATATTAAGTTTGCCACGAACTTTGTAACACCCAGAAGGAAATGTCGGAGACCTTATAAAATATATACATAAATGATCAGCATAATGAGCTGAGTTGATTTAGCCAGTCCGCTTGTCTGTCCATCAGTCTGTATATACAAGTATACAAACTAGTCCCTCAGTTTTTAAGCCATCGATCTGAAATTTTTGCACCTGTTCTTTTCCTTCTAAGAAGCTTCTCATTTGTCGAAACGGCCAATATCAGACCACTATAGGATAAAGCTGCTATACAAACTGAACGATCGGAATCAAGTGTTTGTAAGGAGCCTTTATATTTTTGAAGGGTATTAAAGCTTCCGTGCAACAGAAGTTAACGTTTTTTCTTGTTTTTAAGTAAAGGTCCGACAAATACGTACCTGTCACAGATTATTATGTTTAATTATAGTACAGATCAGAATGAGGCACCGCTGACTTTGATAATGAATTAAATATTTGTATAGTAATTATTAATCTTTGGCATTTGGTTATTTAAAAACAATCAAAATTTTCTCTGATTTGTTTGTTTGGCTAGTAAATGACAGAGTTGAGAAGTCTTTTTTTAGTTTCCGTGTGGTAGTTGATAAATGACAGGTAAATATTATACCTTCACATTTTGATATGCAAATAAAAATTAACATACTTGAGAGAATGTAAAGCATTTGTATTTCATGCAACAAGGTTCATTAGGTCCCAGATAAATACTTTCGAAAAAAATTCAAACTTCTTGTAACAAGAAGAGCATTTGAAAAAGGGTACAAGAAAACAATTATAGAGATGAGAAAAATTTTTGATTATATACCATCTGATCAAATTTGACACGGACTGGTCCATTAAATTCCACGCGCAAACCGAATCCATACGATTTTTTAAATTGGTATAACCTTTTCTTTGTTCATGAGAACTTTGATCTCCATATTGTCAATTGGTGTGTGTTTATTAGGTATATTTCTGGCGATTTTTACTATGAAAAAAAAACTGAGTAACAAGTTAGCTTGAAAATTTGTGTTTCCATCACGGCTACGGATTTGAAATGTCGCAGAAGTGTTTTGGAGAGTCTACTTTACTACGAATACAAGTATTTGTGTGCCAGAAAGCATTCAGTGAAGGTCGTAAAGTCATCGAAAACTTACCTTAGGCGAGTTTTCCATCCACCTCTGAAAATAACGATAACATCGAAAAAGTTAAAGAAACACTACTTAAAAGTTTTCGTGCTGGCATCAAACAGATAGCAGAGGATCTCGACATCTCTTATGAATCGACTTAACGTTTTGGGTATAAAACGTGTCTATGCTAGACTTATACCAAAAAGTCTGGATCTTTTGCAAAATCGACGTCGAGTAGAGGTCGCAAACGAGGTGACAACGTAGCAGAGAACCATATATTCATCAAACGCAACATTAAGAATATGACGTCGAAATCGTCTAATAATATAGCGGACGGCGCTCAAAAATGAGCCGAAACAGAAAAACCAAAACGCGATGAAGGCACCCAGCCGAGACTTATAAGTGTTTGGAAAATTGGAATAAAGTTTGTCATGCTTGTATCATGCACAAAGGGGCCTATTATGAAGGCTAGAATAACGATTTGTAATAAAATACATGAACATTATATCTTTTTTTTGTCGGTCATGGTTAAAATAAATAATTAAGATTAATAACAATTTCATGTTAGTGAGGTCAATTTGCCCATCTAATATAAGTGACATTATGCCTCAAATTCTGCTTAATGGATGTGAACTTGAAATTGGGATTAGAGACTCCGCATGAAAGATTTGAGTTACGTTACCGCTCTAAGCTAACTTACAACTAAAATTATGAAATAATAGATTGCAGTACTCTTTCTTAAAGGCTTTTATGATGGTAATTATCAAACGCAATAAAGGGTATTGAGCACTATTCAATTAAATATGCTCAAATTTATTATATGTAAACAAATATATGAATTAAATTTGCATAATCTATAAAATAGAATAAATGCAAATTAAGCGATAAGGAGAGTCATTTGAGAAGCTGAAAGGGAATTTCAACTGGGTCAGGTGTTAATCTTTTGTCATTAGTGGACATATCAATATGCATATGTACATATACGTACAACGATATATATAATGGTAGAAATTATTATATATAATATATATACTCGTAAGTGTCTATAGTTTACTGCTTTTAAATGAGTAGTGAGAGTGATAATCCCTTCTCTAATATTAGTTACCATAATAAATAAATACTGTTATCACATTTGGAATGCATATTATATTAGATAGTTGTAGGTGTAAAAGTATATATGTATTAGGGTGGAACGAAAAAAATTATTTTTTTGCTTCGTCTGCAGGTAAAATCTGTAGATTATAATTAAAGAAAATTTTTGGACAAAAAATAATTTATTTAACATCTAGAGGCGGTTAAAATTTTTTTTGGACAAGAAAAAATTAATTTTTTTTAAAATTTTTTACATTTACATAAAAATTTCCGAATTTGACGGTTTTTGACTCAAAATTTATTTTAACGCTTAAGGAAAGCATGTTGTCGTTTAAGAGTTTTTTTAAAACTCCAATAATGACCACAAAATTTTTTTTTTTTAATTTGATAACTTTTAATTGGCTAGAAAGAGGACTCTCCACAGCTTCTAGAGCACTTCACAAAAATTGTTTACAAAATAAAAATTTTAAATCGAAAATTAACTTTAAAACTGGCTCTCTGGCCTCTAGATGTTAAAAAATTAAAATAATCTACAGATTTTACCGTCAGGCTAAGCAAACATTTTTGTTCGCACCACCCTAACAGGTATACAATAATAATAACTAAAAATATTTTATATGAAAAGAGGTTTTCTATGCCAGTAGAATATATAAATATAATATGTACCAAGCCACTTTATATGAGCATGCGGATGTAGGTGTGAGTTCTTTATTCATAAAGAACAGTGAACAGTTGAATGAGTGACTAGGCAAATATTTCTTGTATGGCAAATTATGGAAGATAAGTGTTTCTATGTATATGTGTACATATGCGCAATTCAGCGCTTATACATATGTAATTATAAGTAAGTAGATAAATAAAAGTGGGGAATTTATTTAGCAGTTGGCAAAACTTTATACTAAAATGCTGTCTTATTATCTTAAAATATAGGTGATGGACTCACAATATAAAATTTATAAACAACCGGAATGTTTGATAACATTATATTGGGAATATTTCGCCTAAGGGAAGGTCTGAGCTGATTGCATTTACTTTTAGCATTCAACTTAAGTAAGCTCGAGAACATATTTCCATACAATTTTATTAATATAACTCAAATTTTGACCGATATATTACTATAATATCTTAACGATATTGATTATGCGTATTATATTGACCTGATTATAATATATATATAGGGACTAAGGTCTTCAAATATTCTATGTGCCCCTGAAAAATTCTGCTTCGAAAAATTTCGTATAGGAAGGGTACGTGTTAGGTTTTTCTTGTAAATATAAGAAATCTAACTGATATATAACCGGTAAAGTCAAAGTTGATGTTAGTTGTTGGCAGGGTTCAGGATTCTAACATTATGCGATTTTTGCAAATAAATTTAAGTGTATTAGTTTCTATTATAGTACAAGATTATTATACACATTTGAGGATAAGTTAGTCGAGGTACATTGACTCTTGTAAGTAATGTTTGAGTTATGTATAGGTTGTTCTATACGTAGAAACTCTCTATCTAAAGTAGTTGCTGAGTATCACTTGTGAATAAAGTAATTTCAATTTCACAGATGAAAACAGACATGTACATAGATATTCTGAGAATAGCAATGCATCATCAGTGCAAACTTTTCAGCAAAAGAAGAGTATAAAATCAATTTATTGCCCAAAATTTCGTTACTTCTTAGTAATCATAAAAAGCTATGACAGAATTTGGAGGACTCTTTTGCTAAAACAACTATACACCCGTAGCATTTGTAAGGTTGACTGAAACTCGCAATTATTACCACGCGGATATTACATCAGTACCATTACAACTTATAATAAAAACTAAAAAAGTATATACAATAAAAACTAATGCACTTTACTGTTGGTTTACAAAATAATAATAAAAAAAAATTATTAATCTCATTTACATTAAAATATGTACATAATAATGAATATTGGTTTAATACATTTCGAAATTCTCCTAATCGAAGGTTTTATGCTTTTATATTTACACTTATTTATTATTATTTATGGTATTTCTTAGTAGAAATTTTACTATCTTTTTTACTTCACAATTCATCTCTTGAGTTTTCTTTGCGTTCCTCGGGGGGAATATGTGCTTTAAGCTTATGCCAGAACTCCACGCGATCGGCATATATGTCACGCTCCATTTGTAGAATGGTGAACTCCGCGGGTGTTTTGTGACCCAAGCGGGCATAGTTTACCGGATAGCCAGTTGTCGCATCCCAGTGTGTGAGTTTCGAGTTCGCAGGTGTCGGATTGCTGTTACAGATCGTGAGGAAGAATTTGGATATGTTTATTGAATAAAAGTTAATACAATTTATAACACTATATATATGAGTGATTCATCTATACATACATACAAACACAGTAATTTTTACCGGTTCGATCTATCAAAATTTAAAGGGAGATCTTGTTGAGAGTCTAAATGATCTTTTGAGTTAACAAACTGGAAGTGGTTGATGAGCGCTATTAGCTCAAACAAGAACATTAACAATCGTAATTTTGAAGTTCTAGAGCTTCAATAGATTTGTAGGAGAAGAGGACCACCCTACCTATGACCCTACCATTAACAATCGATCGATCGACATCGGTAAGATTTTTATTCTATTTAGGCATCGGTAAGATTTTTATTCTATTTAGGATAGTAATAATTACGGAACAGATATTGAGAATAATGAAAATCTTTAAAAGTATCGGTCCAGTAGCTCCAGGTGGTAGTTGAAGAAAATACACGACGCTAGGCAACCACCAACGGAGAATAGTTTATGGAACCGATGTATCACTATAGGGTTGTTAGGACGAGGAAAAGCAACTTTCGAGCTTAAGCAATACGAATTAAAGTGGCAGGTCCAATCCATTTGAATAAGCATTCATTAATCCACTAAGCAATATTGCGATATACTCATATATGATGATAACATCTGCAATAACCTCAACCCATAACCTTTAAACTTACCCTTCTTTAGCGAAATTAACCCACATATCGAGCATGGCTTCGCGCAGAACTCTATCAGATTTTGTGGGTGAAGCACTGACAAATAACTGTAAGGCTACGGGGAACAGGTATTGTAGCTCTTCAGCGTGACAAGCACCTAGATATAAATAATTTAGTTTTACCAAATTCACAGTACTTTTAATGACATAAACAATTATCATCATTGCATTATTACCATAATAATCTTCTCTGCCGCCTTTGAAGAGCTCAGAGAAACTTGCTGGACCGCGATGTTCAAAAAGATACACATAGAAAGGAGGCATTTTCACAGATTTTTCGGCTAACACGCGTTGGCGTAAGTACTCATCGATACCCGCAATGAACCAGCCATCTGAGATGAGCTAACAAACAAGAAACATTCGGAGAGATTACATAAGCAAGCAATCATTACAACAGAGACATACATCAGTTAAATTTTGGTGATTGTATTTGTCATAGTTATGCCCCTCTTTGAAGTAGAATTCTACAATTTTACGCGTAATGTCTTCAAGCACTTCTGGTGCATGGTGATCGTATTGTAGTTGAATTGGTAATATCGTATCGAAATTTTGTTTGTAATCTTCCAAAAGACCTGGCACATTAAGTAGCGGAGCAGTCCTGAGCAGACCTTCCTCAGAGGTGGCACCAATCATAATTGGTAGTGAGAAACCATGCGGTATTTCAACTTCGCGTGGTGACGCAGTGAGAAACGCGCCCTCATGTGGCGGCTCCACAACTGGTTGATATGGCACCATGGGATCAAAGTCCCATTCCTAAGGAAGTAAATGGATGAATCGGAATTTAAATTCAGTTATGTTATTTGAATGGTTCACGCAAACTCACAAACAACTGATAGACGGTAGCAACTACTTTTTCGGCGCTTGTGCTGCGCAAGCAGTTCAAGAGTTGCGGCCAGTTTGCCTCGTCATCACAGCCTACTAATTTTGCGGCTTGGCGTGCGCGCCTCGCTGAAATACCCTTGTATTGTGGTTGCGCCCACGGGTTGTAGTATGTGCCTGATTGTATAATGGCTTTGTGGAAGAGACCTAGAGAATAGACAGCTCAACATTTGTGTAAAGTGTACACAAAAGTAGTTCAAATTAACATTACCTTTAGAAGAGTTCGAGAGCATATGGTATGTAACACTGGCGCCACCCGCACTATTACCAAAGATCGTTACACTTTCTGGATCCCCACCAAAAGCTGCAATATTTGCCTGTACCCAACGCAAAATTTCCACTTGATCTTTCAAACCGAAATTACCGGGGCAATCGAGCGTTTCGGTACTCAAGAAACCGAGTGGGCCGACACGATAATTGCCGATCACCAAAATAACATCGCGATCTAGTAAAAATTCCGGTCCATAAAAACTGCTAACGCCGGAACCACATTGAAAGCCGCCACCGTGAAAATAGATCATGACAGGCAAGGGACTCGTCTGATTGTGTTCCTGTGAAGAGTACGAAGGTCTATCAATATAGCATATATTAAGTATTATGTTTCCAGCTTACCTCTGGCGTATAGACATTTAGATATAGACAATCCTCACTGCCTTCGATCTCCATATCACGCCGATAAGGATCACGTTGCATACAAATTGCGGAATCCTTTATGACATGTTTCTCTCCAGCCCATGCGCCATACGGTACAGGTGGCTGTGTTAAATTTTTTTTGTAATTACTGTTATATTTAATTAAAGATTTATGATTTTTGTGTGATATGCAAAAGCAAAAAAAAAACGCTTAAGTTTTTCGCGCTTGTAAGGGTTAACATCAGGATTACTAATGAAACAGGCGGGTTTACATTATTTATAAACACGGAACTTTCGAAACTCATGAACCTTTAATTACTCTTAAGACACTGATAATAATGACTTGTATGTGATTCATTACTATACATTTTGCATACATCATTACGGACATTTTGAAATCTGATCAGTATCGTAACATGCCCCAATACAAATACAGAAAATTAAAAGTAGATCAATCTCGCTTATTTCAATATTTTTTTACGCATTTTAAGCGAAGTTTTTGCTTACACAATGGATTTAACCGATAGTCCATACATATATTACATTCAAAATTTATACTCATCAGTTCTAATATCTATTGTAACACATATTCGAGGAAATTGGGGTCGATAGAGGAATGGTGAAGAACTATTGAAACAGGCAATCAGGCGTAATATATTCTTCAAAGAAAGCTGTCTTATCCCATTAACCCTTCTACCATCTGAATTTGTGGTAATGAAACATTGCGAATGATTTTCCCACCTCAAAATCGATCTTTAGTGGATATTTAGTGAAGATTACTTACTGGGACGAAAAAGTATTCGAAAAACCAGATTGCAAATCTGTAGATAGTGGCAACAAAGGTAGAAGAACGAGGCAGATGAGAAGATTTATTGATATGCGATTTACTTGTTTTTTTCGAGGGGTATATCTATCTATCTATACTTATGCTTTTTACCTCCATATTATTGTGAAAAATACTGAACGATACTCTAATGTGTTCGCTCGTTTCCAAATTGTTTCGAAAAACAAGTTAATAACCTAATTAATTCGATATGCCAATAAATTTGAATATATTATCATTAAATACAGTCTGAAATAAAACTTAAGCAAATATATTTACAAACCATAATAAAAAAAGAAAAAACGTTAACTTCGGTTATACTGAAGCTATAATACCCTTCACAAATACAAAAGTTTCCTTACAAGAACTTGATTCAGATCGTTCAGTTTGTATGGCAGCTATATGCTATAGTTGTCCGATATCGGCCGTTCCGACAACTGGGCAGGTGCTTGGTGAGAAAAGTACTGGTGCAAAGCTTTAGATCGATATCTCCAAAACTGACGCACTCGATCGTATATGTACAGGCAGACAGACGGACATTGGTAAATCGACTCAACTCAACTTGCTGATTTATTCATTTATATCTTTTATAGGGTCTCCGATGTTTCCTGCTGCGTGTTACAAACTTCGTGTTTATTTAACATACACTGTTTAGGGTATATATATATTTAAGAGTTTTATATGCGATTCTTAGCGTTTTTAACATTTTTTAATTAATTCAAACAAAAAACAAAAAACAAATATTTAAAATTGCAAAAAGACTTACTGGCATTGCGCATAGTAACTACAGTAATTTAAATTGTATTTTCTTTATTGCTTTAATATGACAAAATGATTAAGAGATATACATGTTCCAGCTTTTTTCATAATCGGTATATTTTTATCAAGATACGCTTTTGTGTGCTTTGAAACTAATTTATTATTGCCTTGGTACAGCAAAAACACGTGTAGAACAAAGTAGATATAAGTTGTTTAGTGTATTCAAGATATAAATTATGTTGGATCATTAATTAGAAATATAAAACCTCCCAGAAATATATGCCTTTTATATAAGGATTGCATGTGGAAGAAATTTACATGTTAGAAAAAAAAAATATAAACAAATTTTAACGTGTGTTGTGCTTGGTGGTGGCATAAACCTAGTTGTGTAACATATGTCACATGGGTATCGTATGTGGCGCACATTTATATTTTACAAAAACAGAAGATTCTGTATCACTAAAGAAAATTCATATAAGTTTGAAACATATTTCTATAAAACCATAGGTTGTTATTTTTGTACCGAACACTTATAGTTTAGACATTATTCAAACTTTCAAAATAAAATTATGGTCTATAGCAATTCAACTAATTTCAACCAAGTACTTAGTTTGCCTCAGATATTTTTCCAAAAGATTTGCAGTATAAACAACTGAAAAATAAAGCCCATATACATATGTACATGTGTAGATGAAATAGAAAAATAGCAGAAGCGAGTGATATTAATATGTATAATATTAATATGTATAAATAAATGTGAATGAATATGAATAAATGTATACATTTTCTCCACTTCCCCTCTTTACCGTGAGCGTTCGCTAGGGCCAACAGTTATGTCGTATCTCGACAGTCTCTTTCGCAATTATTAACTGATTTTAATGGGCCATTATTTAAATAAAAGATCAGTTGCTTCTGTTAATTTTAATCAGACATACATATGCATGTGTTACATTTAATTAGCGTGAGTGTGGGATTACATGGCTAATGCATACAGATATATTAAGTAATATAAATAAAGTTATATAAATTACGTAAATATGTAAATTTGAATGAAATGTCACTCTATATAAGAATTTTTGCAAATATTATCGGACACACCTTAATAAAGTATAAATTTTCCCTTACAAGGAACCACAAAAAGTACCGATGTTCGATGTAAATATTACAGATATTATTCGAACGTTTCTGTACCGGAAATGCTGATTTACGGGATTTACTTTTGTATATATACATATGCTGATGCCACGACAAGCATTCACTATAATTTGCTGTTAGTAATCCAATGCACAATTATTCTTTATAATTGTATTTATTAAATCAAGGGAATTGCTCTAATTGAAGCGAAATGTGAAAATCATAATTCTGCTCAACCTTAAAACAAAACGATCCCGTTATTTTTCATTGTAATAATTCTGAGTGGTGTTACAGATTATACTATTTTAGGATATCAAAACAATATGTGAAAAATCTGAATCCGACAGAGTTTCTTTTGCTCAAAAATATAAGGAATCTTTGAAGACTCTTTAAAATGTAAATATAAATGAGCAGCGTGACGAGCTGAGTCGATTTAACCAAGTTCGTTTATCTGTCCGTTCGTAAGTCTGTACGCGGCTAGTCCCTCAACTTTTGAGATACCAGTCTGAAGTTTTGTACACGTTCATTTCTGTTCAAGAAGTTCCTCAATTGTTGGTACCACTATAGCACGTAGTTGTCATACAAACTGACCGATCAAAATCAAATTCTTGTATGGAAAGCTTTTTCATTTGACGAGATATCTTTAAGCAATTTGCATGGATTATTGTCCAAGACAGTGATGCGATCTCCAAACTAATTTTTTATATCGGATCACTATAGCATATATTTGACATACAAACTGACCGATCAAGATTCAAGTTCTTGTAAGAAATATTTTGTATTTGTGAAGGGTATTACAGCTTCGATGCAGCGAAAGTTAACGTTTTTACTTGTTTTATATTATTTTGAAAATTTTTATGGAGTTTACAAATGACATTAAAAAAATCCTAAAATTTCTAAAAATTTGGGTTCATTACATCTAAGTGCTGCGTTGGTTATTATATTGATTTGAAATTTTCATTCTCTATCTACATACCCACAAGTATGTCTATACCAATACGTAGGTATATGCAAATGAGCACCACCCTAAGGCAACAGCACGTTCTTATAAATTACTCACTAGGCCGTATTTTTGCACATGTTTGTTTTTGTTGCAGCAGTGTAAATTACCAACACAAGCATTGTATTGTCGAATATGTAAATTTGTATGTATGTTTTTATGCTTTGTTTGTGAAGTTGCTAATTAAATATAACTTGTTAAACTAATTTATGCACTCCATATTGCGCATGCCTATCGTTCAACGAACTGTGTGAATAAAAAAATTAAAACATTTTGTAGATATTTTTATTGTTGTTGGTGTTTCCTTCGACTGTAATGAGATAGCAGAAAATATGCCACGGCCACTTGTTTGAAAGGCCCTTAACATAACCAGCACCTATTTGCTGTGTGTTATATTTTGGGCAGACCGTTATTAAAGTGCCTTGGCAGGCGTAACAACACGAAATCAACACAAAAACTGCGCGTGTGCGCAATCCACTGATTAAAGCATCCGATAAAACCGGATTGCGAATTTCTAGCAAAATTTTATAGCACAAAAATAACCAAACAAAAAAAAACAAGAAAATTAGTACACAATATTTCACCGCTTCATTAGCATTTGGAAATCGACGCAAAAGTTTACAATTTGCATGCAACTTTCATTTTAATTAAGCAATTAATTTATTATTTTTGTTTTGTCGCCTTTTTTATTTCATTATCGCACATACACACACACATAGACAAACGCGCTGGAACACACCTTAAAGCGCAATTCGCCCACTGGCGGCAACGCATACGGCACGCCCATAAAGGCGCGTATGTGTCGGCCACTGTGCGAGGTCCGATGGCGGCCGACAAGGACTCCGCCATGCGCCAGCTCCACCTTCAACACATCCGCTGTACGCGCCGCGCTCGTATCGAAACGAAGACAGAGCGTAAGCAAAAATAACGCAACGGTTAAAGTTGTGACGCCGAATAAATCGTTGACGCGTGTGACATGTTGTCGCCGCGTTCGCAGCTCTTTTGCCAATTGACGATCGTTTGTATCGAACATTTCGGCGCGTACTGTATCGATCGAGACGATTGTTGCCGATTTTAAGCATTTCTCAAGTTTGGTTAAGAGTCACAACGGCGGCAGTATCAAAGCTTGGCTTAAGTGTGTGTGTGTGTGTATGCACGCATACGTGTACTCGTATTCGGTTTGTGATAACTAAGATTTTTCGGTCATCGGTTTCGAAATTTTGTTTTGAAAGCTTTTCTCGACAAGCAAATCCAGCGTCTTAAGCTGTTCATAGCTCTACTACCAATAGCAAACGTAGAGAAGTGGACGATAACAACAACTGTTAGTTGGTTTTGATCGGTAATGGATACCAATACTAGAAAAATTAAAATGAAAAAAAACGAACTCAAATATTCCGAAACTCTTGGTGATTTCGTAACGGATTGGGATAGGCTCGAAGTGTTCGTACAAACTGAAATATTCGGTCCATAATCTAATCTAACATGTTAGCCACATAATAATCATAATAAAATTTCGATGGCGTTAACAACTCTAAAAGCAACCAAAAACAAGAAAAAAACGTTAACTTCGGTTGCTCCTAAGCTATAATACATACCTACGCTTTACAAATATCTTGGACAGCCATCTTTACCAAATTGCGTGACGATATCTCGTCAAATAAAATAGTTTTGCTTGCAAGAACTTGAGTTTGATCGTTCAGTTTGTCTAGCAGCCATATGTCATAGTGGGATGATATCAGAGTATTCGAAAAATTAGCAGTTTCTTGGGGAGAAATAGATGTGTGTAAAATTTTAAAATGATATCTCAAAAACGGGGGGAGTACTTCGCGTATATACGGCCGGACATACAGAATGACATGGCTAAATCGGCTCAGCTCCTCATGTTGTTCATTTAAAAATATATGTTTTATAGGAATTCCGACGTTTTTGTCTAGGCAAACTTAATATACTCGATACTTTGAGGCAAACTTAATATACTCTCTTCAGGGTATTATGAGATATAGTAAGATTGAAAAACAAACTCTTAATTCTAAGTGGATGGAAATGGAAAACCTGCTTGATGTGCTCAAAAAAACTGAGTGCAACTCAACTGCTTGAAGAGCTTGTACCTACTTTGGCACCATAAAAAATTAGTAATCTTGTAACAGTAGTTGGTCCACATTCGATATGCTCAGCCACATTTTCGGCTTTGGGTCTAAAATATAATGGGTATTTATTTTATTAAATTATGCAATTTTGAAAACTGATATGTGGCAACCCTAATCAATTCATAATTATGAAGAATCTACTTGTGCAATTGTAAGTATTCAAAATATTTGTAGAATGTACAGAAAGGAAAGGAAGAAAGCGAGAGATAAATACTGTTGCTTCATATTTTATTATAATGAGCTCTACTGACGTTTGAATGATTTATACTAATGAATATTATTTATCATAGCTACGATATTCTGAGATTGCAAGTTTTTATATAATATGAAATTCCGGTTTTCTGTGCTCCGATTAAAAAAAAACATCTTTAAATTGCTATTTGTACACGTCTGGCATACAAAATTCTGTTAATGGTTATTGAGAATTATTTCAACAGTGATCATCTTAAATGGGGATACGTGCATTGAGTAAGTAATAATTTGTAGAAAAAATCACATATTCTTTAAAAAATATTTTCACAATAAAAAAAAATTAATGTTAAATATTAACTTATACGTTGACACTCGTAAAAGTAATGCTTAAAGTTTATCTATTTTTTATTCCCTCAACAGGGTATATTAAGTTTGCCACGAAATTTGTAACACTTGGAAGGAAACGTGGGAGACCTTATAAAATATATACATAAAATATCAGCATGATGATCTGAGTTGATTTAGCCATGTCCGTCTGTGTGTTCGTCTGTCCGTTCGCCTGTATATACGCGAACTAGTCCGTCAGTTTTTAAGCTATCGTTCTGAAATTTTGCACTCTTTGCTTTTCTCCCTAAGAAGCTGCTCATTTGTCGGAACGGCCCATATCGAACCACTATAGCATATAGCTGCCATACAAACTGAACAATCGAAATCAAGAACTTGTATCGGACACTTTTTTATTTGACGTAATATCTTCACGAAATTTGGCATACGTTATTTTCTAAGGCACCAAGGCAATTTCCGAAAAAATTGTATAGATCGGAAGACTATAGCATATAGCTGCCATATTAACTGAACGATCGGAGTTTAGTGCTTGCTTGAAAACTTTTTCATTTGACGAGGTATTTATCTTCTCAAAATTCGGCATGGATTATTATTTAAGGTAACAATGTAATCTCCCAAGAAATCGTTCAGATCATATCACTATATCATATAGCTACCTTACAAATTGAACGATCGGAATCAAGTTCTGTGAAGGGTATTTTTCTTGTTTCAAATTAGTTTGAGTTCGTGCATTAGCTTAAGACGACTTAATATTGTTGTGATAACATGAGTATGAGTTATTTTGTGCAAGAACACAAAATTAGGTATAGAGTGTCTAAATAAAAAAATAAAGTCATAAAATTTGTTTATATTATTAGGAGTACATCTTTTGGAAATATTTATATGATACAAGGCTTTCTTTGACTCGACATCATATGAAAGTTTATCATATTTATAACACTTTTTGGGGCGAATATCTAAAAATATGAACTATATCAAACCGACGCTAAGACCCGAAGCTAATTGTCGTAGATTATTTGTCGAAAAAGTACATAAACTAATTATTTAAAGAGGTATCTTAGAGATGTATAGATAGATACTACTATATTACACTGGTATATTTATTGGATATTTAAATTTTGTAAGAATATAAATTAGTTAAAAAATTTGATCTTTATCGAATTATTGTTACTTCGAAAGTAATCCAAAGATAAGTCTACCGCAAATTGGATTTACAAAAGTAGTTCACATAAATGAAGGTTATAAGTGGAAGTATATTCTACAGCTATGATTCTTTTAAATTGTCCGAAACGCTTATTACCCGATCTCAACCACAGATGCCCCGTGCATTGTAATTAGTTGCACTAAATAGCAGACTTGTATCTCATTGTCGAGTTTAACTATGGTACTTTATATATTTTCGATTAATGGCGTTTTATGGACGCGGCAAAGGTCCGATTCCGCTCATCTGCAATATCAACCTTTCATCACAATATCTTAATTTTTACTCAAATTATCGCTTATACGGACGAACGGATAGACAGTCAACCGGATTTCAACTCGTCTCAGCATCCTGATAATTTATATACATATATACCTCGATTATTTTAAGGTGATACAATCAACCGTTACGTTAATAAAAATTAATATATTATACCTACATGTTGTAATAGTAAAAAAAGACAGACAAAAATATGGTCTTGCCATTAGGACACTAAGCTTTTCAGCTTATACATACAAGTACAATGCTCTTATATAATTTTTGAGATTGGCAACTTATACTTGAAAACTTTATTTATAGTCCAAATGTTTATTAGTCAAACATACAAATTATGCTGGTATGTATTTAATTTCCGGAATGAATTCGGACCAAAAACAGTACACATATTAGACCAAATATCTTTACTGAAACTCATATAAATATGATCAATTCACCCTTTCCTGTGCACTGTTTTTCTTTTTTGTTGCAATTACGATTATTGCATCTTTTGACTGACATTTCCATCTCAGTAACAGTTGCGTTAATAATTTCAAAGGCAACCAAAAAGAAAATGAAATATTAAGGAATAAGAAGGAGTGAGAGAAACAAAAATTCATAAAACATAAGTAGTAAAACTTTCAAGCTTTTTATGTAGTTAATAAGGGGAGAAAATAACGGTAGATGGTACAGTTGCAATAATAGTAGGCGACGTCTGTTTGCTTGCTCACCTAGACATACTTGGCTTCCTACCAATATGCCATTGCAAAAGTCAACTTGAGAGGTTAAAAATATTACCATACTGAATGAATACCTGATTCAAAATAATTTTACAAGAAGACTAAAAAACTGTTGCTTTGCGACGACTGTGACCACAATAAATTTAAATAAAAATGGAGGAAGACTTCAGTTCCACATATTTGGCCTTATTGAGTGAGTTTATATATGTTAAAGCTGTAGTTTGAAATTTTGGCATAAAAATAGTCATCTCATTCTTTTACAATATATCAAGTAATACTCATAACAGCTAATACAGTGGAAGAGTGTTTATTTTAACCTTTACTAATTTGGAGCTATTTATTACAGAGTTCAAAAAGTTTCCGAATAAAAGCATCTCAAGATAAAACTTCTTACTACTTACTTCTCTTACCTGGACATTTTCACTAAAAATCAGTATTAAAGAGTTTACAAGATATCAAAAAGATACCTATCATATCTACATATCTACTACCATCGAGATTGAGGTTAATTAAGCATATGACTTTAACAAAGTTTAAGTATGAATAATCTCAGGCGGCCATATTAAATATTGTTTGTGTTATTTGATTGTACTCCAGCCTACCGTATGGGCTTAAGGAGAAACTATCATATGCATAAAAAAGTAACTATGGAGGTAAAACATTATTTTTTTTAATGCTCCACTATACAAGTCTGGTTCATCGGTGGATCGGGGGATCTATTTAACCAGATTCTCTAGAAACATACTATAATGTAGTCTGTGAGTAGTGTTTTTTAGACATGTGGTTTTCAGGAAGAAATAAAACGCATATAATTTAATGATATGGCTAGGAATTTAGATAAGGGTTTTGTCATTATGTTTTAAAATATCGCTGAGTATTCTCTTCCAAGGCATCAATCGTCTCGGGGTTATCGACGGAAGACAAGTGACTTCACATAACGCCACAAAAATTCGTAAGCCTGAAAATTAAGATCCTTTCGTAAAATCTGCCATAAAGTGGAGGGGACTCATTCGGGTTTTCTTCGATACTCTGCTCCACAGTCTGTTCATTATGAAATGGCAAATTAAACTGAGTATAAATGAAGTAACAGCTGTTAAAAAGTTCAACTCCGAAAAATTATTACTTCATTGAAAACTATGTCTCTAAATTCGATTTGTTGGCAAGGTCTGATGGCCCGAACTCTTCTAAGCTCCACGTGATGATACTAATTAGTTAAGCAGCTAGCTAATATACTAAATAGTGAATTTCGCTAGTATTATGGATTAATTTTATGCAGAGAAAACTGAGAACGGTTACCAAATATTAACCACAGTATATAACAACTTATATTCTTTAACGAATCCACTCAAACGTTTGGAATATTTTTTGTAAGAAAATTAGCACTCTTGCTGTAGAATAATG